TTCCATGCTAATTCTCTGTGTGGCTTCAAACGTTTGAACTGTTTGTATGTATGTATATATCTTATTTGCTCTGTTCTTATATTGAGCTCTCTTTGGATGATTTATATCCTCTTTGGAAGTATCCATGTGGATTATCAAAATATATATAAATTTCAGGAATGTTTCTAATGTTTTAAAGTTTGTCATAAGTTAATTACACTTTCAAGGAAATGTGCATTTTCTGAACCCCTATTTGGTTTGTACATGGTTAGCCATTGATACATAACTCTTCAAAAAAGGAGTGCCAAGGAAATGGTAAAATTTCTGGGGCTACTCTCTTGTATGCATGTGGGGTGAATCTTCACTTTAAACTCAACCTTATGTCAAAACTAGAGTGGCACAGATTAATCAGTTGGTTATTGGCCATTTCAGCATTTACTGATTAATCAGTAATGAGTTTGTTTTTCCTTTTTCTATCTCTCTCCTCTGCCACTTAATTAGATTTCAGAAGTGGTCATCCTTGTTTACTACATCAGTGTAATTTCACCTGGTTGAGATTCATCAGTTACCTTGGGCATAAAATGAATTTAAACCTTTTGAGTGTCTCCACCACACACACACACTTTATTATCAATAACTGATTATCAACCAATTAACTAGGTCAACCTTAGTCAAAATTTACTGTGTTGAAAGTGGAGAATAAATATCATGAATAGTGCAAGTGAGTAAAGTTATTGTATTTTAAGTATCTCAAGGCCTGTGAAAGATGGTAAATAATAATAATAATCTCTAAGCATAGGCATTTGGTAGATAGACATGGAAATAAGAATATAAGTTATATATCCCCAAAGAAAAAGCAATAACTAAGTTTTTAAAATGAAAAATATTTGAAGCTTTTATTTTAGTTTTAATTTAAAATTAATAGATTAAATTTCATATTTTTCAATACATTGCTGTATTTCAAAACATTGATTGGAATGAATTTTTAAAACAATTAGAAAAAATTAAATTCCACAAACATCAGTCTGTTAATAGAGCTGTCAACACCTCATAAAAAAACCTAATTTTCTAATTGTTTTAATTACTAAATTTTTTTTTAACCTATACTTACAATACTCTTAGCAAAATGTAATTCTCTTTAAAATATCTTTAAAAAATAATATACTTTTCTGAAACTGAGGGAGATTAGCTGATTTGAAACATTACTTTTAGTTTAAAATAATGCAGAAATGCATTAACACAGATGGGTTTTTTATGAGGTGTTGACAGCTCTATTAACAGACTGATGTTTTATTGAATTTTAGGTACTTTGGTTTTAAATTTACTATATTGATCTTATTTTCTGATAATGTATATGGATGTTGGAGTTTACAAGTCAGCACATTCACACGCGCGCACACACACACACCTAATTCTTTTTAAAATAATAGTGGTCACTGAATGGTAGTAAGCTATTCCATTTATGATTTGTAAAAATAGTTTTTACTTAATAGCAATACCATCTAACTGGTACAAATTAATACAGAATTTTAAGATTTAAAACTTTAGAAAAAAAATTGATTTAAATTCTTCAAGGACTTCTGCTCATAACTAATATAAACATTAATCCTTACAAAAATGTATTTCTCAGTTTCATAAAATTGGGAAGTAATGGATATTTAAAAAAAAAAAAAAACGTTCCTAAAATAATTTAATTAATTTGTGACTAAGTTCAGAAAATTTAATTAAAATCTGGCAATTTGATTTATGCAAGAATTTCCAATTCAGTGTTAAAATTCTACAAAAAGAGTCTAAAATTTCTTATACTAAATTTATGGTCACCTGTTGATGCACAAAAATAAATTTTTTAACCAGAATTTTGAAGGTTCTAAAAAGGATTAAAAAATATAATTTAATAATAAAAAAACCCTTTGGTTTTTCCTCTTAATAATAAAGATTTTGTTTTTTATTAAGTTTGGGCTTTCCTTTTTTTTTTTCTTTTTCATGTACACTCATTTTTGGGGGCATTTTTTTTTTTTTATCATTCTTAGCGGATCTTGGCAGGCATATATATATATATATATATATATTTCTCTCTACTCCACAAGTTTTTATTTATAAGAATGAATTCTATTGTACATAAGCTGTTATAGGTACCTTTTTTAACAAATGTCTTATTTCAATATTACAAAGTGTCATAAAAATGTTGATACACAAACAGATGCTTTGAAAATAGGTTTATTAATTAATGTTCAGTTACTTCAGTTTTGATATGACTTGTGGAAGACCATACCACAAGAGGACAAATACCTGAAAGTTTAATTACTACTCCTACCTCTAAGCCTGATATACAAGTATAGTGGATTAAAATTGATTTAACTTTTTATATATTTGTGAAAAAAACGAGTAAATTCCTTGAAAATGATTGCTTACTATAGATATCAGTTTGCATTAAAAAAAAAAGCATACTCTCCATTGAAGCTAAAGTTTAAATTTTACATAATCCAACCCATTATTTTAATTTCATTGGATAATACAACCTTCCTCTTTGGTAAACCATTAACATATAGAACTAGTTTTTATGTCTATAATTTTTACTGTGGATTGATATCTTGTTGTGACCTGATAACATAAGAAACCTGTGTGGCTCATGTATTTGTGACCACTGTACATTAAAAAAAAAATCATCTGCTTTTTATAATTTGTATTTTTAAAAATTTTTTTTCATATGCTGCTAATCCCCCTCCATTCACCACAGAAGTTATTAATGTCTTCTGTAATCAATAAATCCTCATTACAAAGACCATATGCTGATTTTTTTTTTTTTTTCAAATAATCAGATTTCTACTTGCATTCATTGAAAAGTGGACCACCATATTTACTGGCCTACAACTCTATATTGCTTTATATGTATTCACTGCTGTATTAGTATAGAAGTATTTTTTTTTCTTTTTGGCTGTTTGCTTATTTTGTAGTTTATAAGGCAGACCCACCAATGCTTCATGCTTAGGTTTACTGGCTTTGTATATCTTTTTTATATATGTATTTTTAAGAATTCAATATTAAAAAAATTCTATTCATGTGCTTGTTTATTTATCTCTTCTTTTTAGAATAGAATAAAGAAAATAGCTGCTGTTTGTCAATATCCAATTCTGAAGCAATTGGTGAAATTGTTAGCATAAAATGGAAAAACTAAGATTATTGCAAAATAAAGAATTTCATGTTGTATGTTAATTTTCTACTCAACTCCCCTATCAGTTTCTGTTAAAGGTATGTCATACGATAGTTGCTATGATACAGTGTGAATCAGCAGATGCTGTTCATTTGTTTTGCATTATTAAATCAATTTATATATAATGGTGAAAAATTTGACAAAATCAGGAAATTAATACATTGGGAATTTCAAAGTCTAAACCTAAAAGTTATAATAAACACAAATTTTTAAAAAAGTAGATTTCCTCGATGTAACTACATGAAAACTAATGCAAATCCATTATATATCCACCGAAATTCAAAACACCCTCTATCTATAATCAAACATACCCTCCTCCACAGAATATAGAATCAGTAATAACTCTTTCAGTGAAAATGTATTTTATAAACATAGGACATTTTACAACACTGCTTTAAAAAATAGTGGCTATAAGTGCCCTGACATTAAATATATGAAACATAAGTGTTGGGTGGGGGTTATAGAAGCTGAAAAATCATTTGGTACACACCCCCACTTAACCTTGACAGAAGTTTCTCAATTTAATTGAGAAACGTTTCCCTAGTAATAATCCTCTTAGTAAGATTTTTAATAAAAATACACTTAAATTAAGCTATAGTTACAGATAACCGTGAAAAAATTATTAAAAAACGCAATAATAAAATTTTAAATCAACAGTTAAACCTAAATAACAATAGCTGTCCCAAAGCAACAAACAATAATGATACCAACTTCTGTAATTGTAGAAATCGTAATGACTGTCCACTACAAAATAGATGTCTAACAGATTGTTGTTTACCTTAGTACAATTTAATCTAGAGGAAATCCAACAGATAAAAAATTTCATATAGATAATGCCAAAAATTTCTTTAAAACTCTGTGGTATCAACACATATCATCTTTCAACAACGTGTATCATAACAGAATGTCCCTTTCTAAATATTTTTGGCACTTAAAAGAAGTTAAAACTCCTAACAATAAGAACTTGTTAAACCAAAGAAATGAATTAACAGTGCTATGCCGCCATTGTCTACCTTTTTACCTTAAAATATAATTAAAATAATTTTTTCATAAATAATTATGTATTATAATTGTATAGCCATTATTTTATTAGTATATAATGGTCCACCCAACATTTGATTTATTCAACTATAATATTACCATGTTTTACCATCTGTTCAGTATAATTAACCTATATAGCTGTCTAGTTCAACAAATTGGCAAATCATACTTTGATACACCAATAATATATTTGTCACTGAAATTGTTTCCTAGAAATTGTTGAACAAAATATTTAAGCATCAGTTTTCTTAACAACCAGCCCATCCCCACCCACTGACCTTATTTTCATATTTTAGCATAGACCTGATGTTTGTTGGTTAATCTAGACATACACATAAGTATATTTTTAATTCTGACCTTATCTCACCCCTACTTATGAAATAGAGGTAAAGATTTGTTTTTAAAATTTCCCTAATAAATCATTTTTATCTTTAGTTATCTACCATCACCTGATGAGGTACCATCTTAGTACTGAAAAATGAATGTTTTTGTGTAGCGATGTAAAAAGTTTTTCCCATAATTTATTATAATAAAAATATAATATTTGGTCTACTTAGTATTATGCACTTTTTAAAAAATAATTGCTAAGAAATATGGATTTTTACTCCATCTGTTCTTTCTCGTGTGTATATATATATATATATATATATATATATATATATATATATATATATATATATATATATATATATATATATATATAGAGAGGAAGAAATTTCCTTTTTTTTTTTTTTTATTCTATTGTATATTCTTTTTTTTTATTTTTCAGATCCAACTGTTGAGTGGTGAAAGTTAGGACATGGCACCTAACAATCCACTGCCCATCTGGGGAAATGAGAAAACTATGAACCTCAATGCTTTAATTCTGACTAATATTCAATCATCTCCCTATTTCAAAGTCAATCTATATGAATTGAAAACTTACCACGAAGTGATAGATGAGATCTATTACAAAGTACGTGACTCCAGGTATTTTCATCTGGTATTTTTTTTTTTTAAATCTTGTTTTGATTAGAAACAAAAAAAAAAAAGTTTAGTCCTTTCAGTGTGTGCTTACATACATCTATATCTATCTTGGTTGTAAATTGTAGAGTAATCAACTTCTGCAGTGATTGTTTTTCTAGTATGTTCAAATGTTTATTGTATTTTTCTTATTTGAATTCTTTGACTAGTCAAAAATTGTAACTATTTGTTTTATTGAAAGTAGATACTATGCTTTGAACCAAATAGAGAATTTGAACTGTATTGTTTTAATTGACATGAATATATGACACAATAGGTTGCCCACATAACTGGCTTAGAGCTCACACAATGTCAAGTGGGGCCCTAAATGTTTTATCTGCATCTAAAGTGTTGAGTTTTTATGACAACAGTAAAGTTGGCAAAATAAGATCATCAAAGCAGCTACCCACTTTAATAGAAGGAAATGAAATAATAAATAAAGGAGAACTTTTGGAAACTAGTGGCATTTGACCAGATATTAAAGGTTTCTGTTCACAGGCTTATATAAAAGTCAGTTAGAATTGAAAATAGTTCCATGCTGCCCAGTACACTCGTTGTAGCTGATCCATAATCTGTCATGGCAGAAATAGTTGTCCTAAGTATCACCCACCTCCCCAGACTGTGCAAGTAAATCCCTGAATAAACAACCAAATAGTGATTTTCCAAGTATAGCTTGGATGTGGCACAAGGCCAAACGTAAGGGACACCCAGTGAGGATCGAACTCACTACTCATTTGTAATTGTTTTAGTGAGACAAGCTTGCTAAACATTACACCACCTCAAGGTGCCCATAAACAACCAGATATATTGGAAACCAGAGTTTTTATTTCTTATTGTGACATAATCTAGTACAAAGCCATAATGGTGATGTCATTGTGACAACAACATTAGCCATTATTCTCACATGCCAGTGACATAATTTTCAGTGCACCAGACTTTTTTCACCATTGTCCTGGAACACAACTTTAATTTTCCAGAAAAGAAAAATTTAAACTGTCCCAAAATCAAAATAATTTTTTTTTTTTTAAAAAAGCTAATTAGCTATTTTAGCCCCCAAAAACATCATTTCTTCCAGTCAATTTAAATTTACTTTTTGAAATGCAGCAAATATTTGTTAGTAGCTCAATTAGCAACCAGGTTATAACCACTCAAATTTCAACAGAAATTTTTCAGCTTGTGTAGCAGAACCCAATTTTAATTACATGTAACTGAAAGTGTAGGCTTCAAACAAGTGAAAAATTAGAAATGTTATATAGTCTTGAAGTAGAAGAAAGATAATACTAATAGAATCAATAATTATTAGATCAGTCCAGCCTAAACATTGGAGAAAATGGCATTCTCGAAAACGGATTTAAAAAAAAAAAAAAAATGACACCTTGTAAAAACAATCTGAAATATAATTTGATAGTAGGGTAAAAATGGGTTAAAATTAAACAGTTCTGGACTTGCCACAAAAGTGCATCCATGCCTGAAACTTTGAAAAGTTACTAAGTTTTGGTTGATGAGTTCAACAAAAGTTTTTTTTCTTTTTTTTTTTTTTATGTAATTTTAATACCTTTTGACAAATATATTTAATTTTGGGAGAGTTTGTGAAATTAAACAATTTTTGACTTTTCAAAAAAGGACAGTAATGACTACAAAACTTAAAATTTGTTTAATGAAAGGAATCATTGGTCATTCTTTCAAAGAAATACTTATTGTAAATGCATTTCTTTTCAAATTTAAAAAGAAATGAAAAAAAAAAAAATTTATTGGAACTGATGGAAAAAGACTTTGATGGAAGTTTGAATAGTTATCCTGTGCTTCTCTCTTAATGGTGATTTTTTTCCGTCTGAATTTGTTTTTAAGTCTATTCTATGGCCAATATTCCTGGAACACTTCATATTGAAATTAACATTACATCAAAGTTCCATCTAAAGACATGTTGATTCCACTTGAGCAATATCATCTGACAAAGGCCATCAGAAACAATCATTTCTGCATTTGATTAGGACTAAAAACTTGATTATTGTACTGTACGTACATGTAATATCAATGACTTGACCAATGTGAAAGAGTCTTAGCATATTGCAACATATTGGTATTGAAAGTCACCTGAGGTGGTTCTTTTTCATCACAACTGCTAGTTGTTTGAATACACAGATTTACTGTGCATCTTTTCTTCCTTGTTGCTTTAGATGTAGAGATGCATTGACTAATTTTTCCTGTTAAGTAGTTGCAGAGATCATCTTCCAGAAGATCTTTACTTCCACTGGTGTTGATCTTAACACTTTAGAGAGCCTTCAGATAATAAGAGAACCTTTCAGTGCTTTCAGTCCACTATCTGACACCAGTTGTTAACATTTGCTGAATTTGTTTCATGAATTTTTACTGATCCACATTGGTGTCAGGAAAAAGGTTGAAGAACCAAGCAAAAGCCTGTAAGTAAAAAATGTACAATTCTTGTATCACAAAAGGAAGTGGAAAAAGAAACTGACAATGTATTTCTTGAAGAGAGATTTTGTGAAACAACTTTTTTCATTGTCCTCTAAACCTTTGAGTGCTCACTCATCTAAGTACTTTCCTCATTTCTTCATAGTCCTTAAGACCATGAAGGCTACAGAGGTTAGATTCAAAAAATAGAAAAAACCTCACCTTGTTGCTGAGTCAGAAGTCCTTTTGACTTTCTGGGCGCATGTGTTACCACCAATCAAACATCCCCCCCCCACCACCACCACCCAAATGCAGAGTTCTATTAAAAGTTACATCACTGTAATGTTTATTCTCTTCATCACACACAGTTTATAACTGTATCAGTAACCTTTTTGGATGTTGCAAGGAATTTGGGGCCGCCTTTAGCCTGCTTCTCCCACTTACAAATAAAAACTACCTCTTGGTGTTGAGTTCATCATCCATTGAACAGAAGATTAAATGTAAATTTTATTAAAAACCTTGATATCTCTGGGATGGAAAGCAACACAAACCTGCTATGCTTATCTTCCAAAACAGCTACAGAAAAATTAAATTTAAATAACCTTTTACAAAAGATTAATGTGTTTGCAAAAGTTAAAGAACTATATTTTTTTTATTTTTATTTTTTTTTTTTTTTAAAGCCTCTGAAATAGGACCTAATCCTGAGAATTTGTAAATAAAAGATAGCGAAAAGGAAACCGGTTAGAATAGGTACCTTCATGAAATCGCTAAAAAAGAGTATAGCATGATGAAAAAGACACCAAACTTGACGAAAACAAAACTTTATCATCTAAATATTTGTTATTATTAAGGAAAACCAAGTATTTTGGGGGTATTTTTTTTAATTGTTCCTAGCATGTCCAAAATTTTTGTTAAAATTTTTTTTTTTTTTTTTTTTTTTTTTTTTTTTTTTAGTCGGCAAAATTGACAAATAATCGATATCATGACAGCCTTTTTTTTTTTTATAAAAAAAAAAAAATCACAGTTTGAAATTCTTTTAAAAATCAATTATAATTTTTTTCAAAACTTAAAGAAAATCAGAAATTATAATGTTTATTTACAATATTTTGAACCAAGCTTAACTTAGTTTCTGCACCAAAAGGACGTACTTTGAAAATAAAACAAAGAAGGTCATAACCTTTTGCATCACTTGACAAGGTGACTAAAGACATTCGTGACATTTTGACAGCTTGTGTGAGGATAATTCCTTCTACGGAAGGAGAGATGGGAAGTTATTTAGATTTAAGTGAACAAATTGTTTACTTCGTTATTTTTAAGGAACATTTATGCTTTATGGAAAATGTATTATAAAGAAATTAAAATAAGACTGTTGATAGTGAGATTAAATTTCATAAGAAAGGTATCTAATTAATTTATAGGTACCTTTCTTATGAAATTTTATCAGAAGTGTACATAAAATACAAAATTTAAATTTCATAAGATGATACTGATACTTGTAGGTACCCTTTTCAGTTGAAATTGAAAAATCAAATTAACTTCTCCACACGTGTTTCGCAAAAATATATCTATATCTCAAAAGGACATTTACAAAACTGAATGCGGCTTTTAACTAATTTTATAATATTTTAACAACTTAAATGTAAAAATCTATTATAATTAAAGAAATAACAAATAATTGTATTAGAAATTCAGTATTTAAGTTAAATACTAGACAGAAACTCAATCCACGTGACGTTTTTTTTTTTATTGCATGCATGATACTTCCAGTCTTCCATAGATTTGATTTACAGTGTTATTATTGACACAAATTATATTTTTTTTTATATACTGTTGTTCGTTAGTTTGTAAAAAAACTGGAAATTATAATCTGCAAATATATATCTACTTAACAACATTCGTTAAATTTTACAAATTTTTCCCTAATTTTAGAAAAATTAACATTTAATCTAAAAATAATAAATATTTCAGAAATGAATAATTGTTTTAAAAATTCATTTTTCATCGAAATATCTTCTTGCTTTCAGACAATATTGTCCATGTTCATTGAAATAAATAAAAGCAATTAAAAGCTTTTGAAATTAAATAATATTTTTGTTTTATTGAGTTTTGTATCTTACAATTCAGAGACGATTTTCAGGTAGAGGTGGTCCAACTAAAAAAAAAAAAAAAAAAAAAAATGATTTGGTTTCCTCAAAGTCTTGTGCTTTTAATTAATATAATCACTAATCTTCCCAAAATTGAAATTATAGTTTTCGTACAATTAGTCAGGAGGGTGGTAATACATATGAAAAAAAAAATATTTCTGCCATGACTTTAATAAAAAAAAAAAACATTTATAATAAGTTCCATCATTTGTGAATAGTTTCTGAAAGTTTCATTAAAATCTGACAATTTATTTTTATTTTTGCAAGATTTTCCAAATTAATGTGTCATACAGAAAAAAAACATGCTAAAATTTTATTTTACTAGTTCCAGTGATACAAAGAAACAAGGTTTTTTTTTTTTTTTTTTTTTTTTTTTAAATCAAAATTTAAAATCTTCTAAAAAGAAGGAAAATTTTTAAAAAATAATTAAAAAATACTTTGATCTTTCCTCTCAATAATAGCATAAGCATTTAGATGCTAAAATTTTGTTTTTGTCAAGTTTGGTGTCTTTTTCATCATGCTATGCTCTGTTTTTAGCAATCTCATGAAGGTACCTAGGTTAGAATTTGAAAATTATATTTCAGTTTTTTATGAGCCCATAAACACATTGTTTATTTTTTGAAAAATGTATCCAGTTTAGAAAATGTAAAATTTTCAATTTAATTCCCAAAACCTGATAATTACAAAAATGATACTAAATCCATTAATGTATAAATGACTATTAAAAGCAAAACTGGATACTTTTTCAAATTTTATTTTAATCTTATACAAATGTCAGTGTGCATTAAAAGGAGTAAAACAGCCAGAAAATGCATAAAAACAGCAGCTGAAACTAAAAGCGATTCAATCTATTTGGAAAAAATACAATAGATAAATACTTTGTACACTTTTAAAATGCATTAAGAAAAATATAAGAAAAATTTAAGCTCACATAGAAACTGTAAAATTTCCTACAAAAATCTGTTTTAAATTGAATTCAGATGGTAATGTTTAGTCACTCAGTCAGCAAATCAAATTTTGATATGATAGACCCACTGGTTTTGCATGAAATGGACAATGTAGACCCTCTTTTTGAGTCCTATGAATGATATGAAACTAACTGATTATTAAAGATGATATATATATTAGTTGACAAGGAAAAGAGTTGAATTTTTCTGGTATTTCCAACTTAGAACATTTTTTATGAATGGCAACTCCACAAACCCTATTTTAAGCCCACCAAATTGACAAGTGTCCTTTTTTTCCTAGAAGATAGAACTACTTTGATATGTGTAGGGATACATAACTCTGAGTGCAACAAGTTTGAAAAACACCACTATGAAATTCTCAGTTTTGAAAATCTGGTAAAGAAGTGCCCATCATTGAAATAGTTACATACTATAAAGAGACATGGAATAAAAACTAATCATCACAGTTGAAAAAAAGATTAAATTTTGTTTACATACTAATTTTATTAAAATAACTTTGAAAATAATAAAAATTCTACCAGTTGAACTTGAAGAAAATTTTACTATTTTGACCCATTTCCACAGTATAAACTAGTGTGGTTTTGGGATATCTATTTTTAAAATAAATAAATACAAAAATATATTAATTTTCATTAAAATTACAACTTTATTTTCATTAAAATTAGAACTTTATTTTCATTTACAATTACTCGTCTTGTGACTAAATTTTACATGTTTGCTTATCATTTTTTTAAATTTTCTCTTGTACATATTTTCAATTCAGTTCATGGTAAATAGAAAACCTAACATTATAAATGTTGCTTATTAATGGTTCATTCAAGTTTAACCAAAAATGAACAGAAAAAATATTTTTTTGCTTTTGTATATTAAAGCAAAATGAATTCCTAAAATTAAATCAATGTTTCCCACATATGGAGATAATAAAAAATGTCTAAATTTAAGCCCTTCAACCTTAATTTTTCAAGTGAGATTCATTCACTAGTTTAAAAAAAAAAAAAAAGCACTTATATTTTGCATGTATGTTACAAGCCTGCAGTGTAACTTGTCATAAATATTACTCTTTTTCTTTCTTTCTTTTTTTTTTTTTTTTTTTTTTTTTTTTTTAGCCTAAATTTTAATGATTATTTCTAGCATTAGTACTTCTTTCAGATCAGAATTTTAATTCATATTATTTTATTTTTCTTAACCTGGTCAGTACAGTGAATTAAAATGAAGTGTGTATTAACAAGTTCAGTAAGAAAAGATTTAAAAGATTCAGTAGCGGGGGATGAGAATGAAATCAAAAAGACTTGACTTTTGATATGTCATTGTTTGCCCAGCTGTTGCAAAAAATAATGGAGGCTTCACAAATAACTTTCCATCTGTAGAAAGAAGACCAACACCAGATTAAAAAAAAAATGATTTTCCTTTTGTATATATTTGGTAAATTGTAAACATTTTGGTATTTCCAGTCATAAACAAAAGATGTAGTGGTTTCATCAAGCATATTTGTACCATATAGACATTGCAAATTGAGGAGTTAATTTAGTTACCTCAATCCTCCAGTAATTTTTGCAGTAGCAGTTAGTTTTTTAATTGAAAGTGTCTTTCCTATACTTACCTCTATCATGTTTACATGCATATGTTGAATGACTTATTTCCATTTGAGCTTTACAAAAGATATACAGATTATTGTAATTAACTAAGTTAATTGATAGACTTTACATTGTAGATACATTAGTTCAGAGAATATAGCATATCAGATGAATATTGAATTTTGTATCATTATAGCTTTTATCAATTTGATTTTTAAATACTTTTCTATTTATTAGGTTTCTCATTTGGAGCCATGGGAGAAAGGTAGTCGAAAGACTGCTGGCCAGACTGGAATGTGTGGTGGAGTAAGTATTTTAATTCACTGTAAAAGCTAATCTAAACCCATTTTTTATCAGATATTAAAGTAGAAATTGTCAGATCTCATGAATCATTTTTATACAAAAAAAAAAAAAAATATGTTTGTGCAATTTTAATTGCTTAATTTTCTTTTATTAATTTTTCTGCCAGTACATGAATTGTATCAATATAGCTAAACATTTTGATATTTTTATTAAAAAATGTTTCTTCATAATATCTTTATATATAAGACAGTATATGCTATGACATTGTCAAATGTAACACTAAATAGAATATGTGAGGTGTGGTGCTAAAAATCTCTCTGGTTGACCTACTTCTCAAAATTTAACAAAATATCTTTGGATTGGCATTTCTCATGGAAAAAGTTACTTAGTGAATGTAAATTTTAGTTCTAAATCAGAAGGCTGTAAAATAATTTAATATTGTATTCAAAATAGGTTGTTTTAATTTACATGTTTTTACTATTTTACTCTTAAGTTATGGACACAAAAAATCCATTCTTATCATGAGGAAATAAGATTGCATTGAATGTAAAAATATTGACCTTATAAACTATTGAAAAAAGAAAGGCTGAGGAATTAAAGGAATGATGCCATTAGTTTTATATATATATATATATATATTATATATATGCTTACATTTCAAGAGTTTTATTTGTAAGTTTTTTTTAGCTTTAATGTTTTAACATTAAAGCTAAAAAAAACTTACAAATTGGATTTTACACTTTAATATGAATTTTTAAAAAGGTATAAATTTTTAAACAATTTCAGAAATTTTTCAGAATTTTTTTTTATTTATATATAATAATTGCAATGATTAATCAGTAATTATTCTCAATAAAGATTGTTCGCCCCCCATAATGGTAAACTTCAGCATTATTCAAATGTCTAAAATAATTTAATTTACGATTATTTACTGATTGATTAGCAAATATTGATATTACCACTTATCAAGTGATTATTCTATACAATATACACACACATCCTGCATAAGAATTTTCTTTATAATTTGGCTAAAGTGTATTTATGAACACAGCTTTGTATTAAACTTGGTAACAGTTTTCTTACATTGCTACATGTTATTTATCTTTTGCTGTATTTTACTTAGTGAGAAAAATGCAAGCTACATATTCATAAAGAAAATGAGTTAAAAAGGTAATTAAAAGGGGAGGGGCACCAGAATTTTGAAAATCTAAAAATACACTGCATATTTATTACATATGACTTTTTGAGTAAAATTTTCTGAGAATTTTGTCTGTGGCATTTTCCAATTTTACTTCAATAAGAAGTAAAATCTCTTTAGAAAGGCTATTTTAACTCTTGAAACTATTCAAACATTGTTTATTATAATAGAAAAATCTACATAAATGAAAATGCTGATCTTAAATGAAAATAAAACTCTTGAATTTTGTGAGCCAGACAGTTTGTATCATTTTCATCTTTTTAATAAGCATTCACATTTTTTCATTCAGTTTCCTTTAGAAAAATGTTTTCCTCTTTGCCAAAATGCCACATATTTCGGAATGCATAAACTCATGCTCAATTTTTGTTTTAGGTACGAGGTGTGGGTGCTGGTGGCATTGTTTCTAGTGCATTTTGCTTGCTTTACAAACTATTTACATTGAGGCTAACAAAAAAGCAAGTTATTGGACTGATAACTCATCGGGACTCTCCTTACATCAGAGCTCTTGGCTTCATGTACATCAGGTTAGTATTTATTTCCATTCTTTGTTTATAGTTGCATTTAGTATCATTTGTATATCAAGTGTCATATTTTACTTGATACTTTCAATTTTTTAAATTATTTTTTTATGTACCATTGAAAAATGTTTGAATTATAGAAATGACTTAGAACTAACTTGAAATATAACTATAAAAAAAGGATACATTTTAATATTACTGATTTTCATTGTTTTCAATTACAAATTGAACAAAAACAAATTCCTTCACTAACCAAAATCCAACATGAATTGAATCCTGGAATACAGAAATAGTTCAATCATAAGAATTTATTACATTTGTACATAGTTTTGTTTGTGTATATTAAATGTTTTAGTATTTTTATGCTTAGATTTTGGTCTACTTAATATTGTATTTCCTGTCATATAGGGTATTTTTTTTTTTTTTTTTTTTTTTTTTTTTCTCCAGACCCTTGACCAAAAGTCACTTTGCATCTCATACTCCTAGTTAGGTTACCAGGATTAGACTAATCTCTAAACATTCATTTAGCAAACTAGTTACATTTTCAAATCAAAATAATGTTAAAATATATAAGTATGGATGTAGCACTGGGGAATATAGTAACTTTTGTTTTAACCAGTCTATGAAAATTATATTCAAAGTTTTAAGTTTATGCTAAAAATACTCACCCAGCATTTTAGTTTACTTTTGTTACAGCGTTGTCTGGATAAATTTTTAAAGTAGAATTTATTTTAATATATATGTATATAATTTTTTTTTTTTTTTTTTTTTTTTTTTTTTAAGCTTCCTAAATAATCTGTTTAGTCTTCATAAACATTCAGAACTAAAACTAAAATTTGACCAAATATCTGGAATTTGGCGGGGGGGGGTCTCTTCTTGGTCAGGCTGAAAACTTGATAACAGTAGATTTCTTCTATATTTATTTAGAAATAATATACATTTCTTTTGTAAGTACTTTTGCAGCTTAATTGACAATATTTTTGCAGTTTTTGTAATATTAAGAAAGCAACATGCATTACTACATTTATTGCATTGTGCATTACTTAAAAATTGTTTCATTATTTTGATTGATAATTATCATTGGACACAAGTCATCAAATAAGTTGGAATAACAGTATTCAGGTTGAAAGGGGGAACTGAATAAGTATCTTAAATGCTTGTGAGTATATAATCAAGGTCAGCAAATATCCTTCTCTAGCCATTTTCTTTTTGTCTTTATACAGTTTTGTTATTATTAAGCAAATCTATTTCTTCGTAGAATGAGTCCTGGTTTGTTTTTGTTTCTGTTTTAAAAAATCGGTTCAATTGCTAAACTTCTTCCTATTTCTTGTCTTTTTCTCATTATGAATTTATAATTTGCAGGATAATCTGGTATTGCTTAGAACAGGAATTACTTCCAAGAAAATTAGCACACCCTAATTTGTGTTTATACATTCATACTCTTTTTCTTTATTAGACCGTGTGGCGCCTTTTGAAAGTTTCATGTGAACAAACCATTATTTGGATGGCTGAGTAAACAGATTGTCTTTTACATAACGAATTAAAAATAAAATTAGTTGTACTAAATGTTAATGAATCGGACGTTTGTGTGGATTATTGATTAGAGATTAGGCTAGATAGTGGATAAACCTTTTGTTAATTAAGAGATAAAGTATTTTAGCAAATAAAGATGTATGAAATAATGTAGGTACGCAGTTTTGATAGCTTATGTTGAAGAAAAATTTGTTTCTAGTTTTGACTATTTTGGAGTTATACAGTCAGAAACCATTATTTTTTTTTATTCTTTCTATATTATTTCTAATTTCATCATGAAAATATTTGTGCACCAATTTTATTTTCATTCTTTAAAATCAGTTTGGTTTAGTTAAAGAAAAAACAAACTTTAGTGGCTTTCTCAGACCTCCATGGAAGATAATTGTTCAGACTATACGCTCATCCCTACTGCAAAGTTTAAGTTATCAATATTTCGTTCAGCAAATCTCTGGTTTTCTTCAGGTGATGGTGCGGAGCTCAGTGAGCAAAGAAAGAAATTTGGCTTCTGTGATCTGTTTTTTACATATGTGAGGCAGATGAATTTGAGGGAGATGTCATGGGAAAGATGTCAACCAGTGCAACTGAAGTAGGCCTGTCTATTGAAGAGTCCCTTGAAATGGCTGGTACTCCAGAAGGAAGGTGTATGTCTTATGTGGTTGTCTGATCTTTTTTTTTTTTTTTTTTTTTTTTTTTTTTGTTTTTGATTTTGTTTTTTAATATAGAAGTATTGAACTGGAGGTAGGATGTCTTTAAGTTGTTTGGGATAAGAGTAATTGTATAAGATTCAAAATGATTTGAGAATGGGCCTCAATACTGAACAATTATTTTCCAACTTGAATCTTTCTAAAATATCAACCTGTTTATCTGTCTGGTGGTTAAAACAGCCTTCAAATCATTACTAACATTATAATAATCATTAAACAGATGAAAATAGACAAATAGAATAAAAAAAAGACAATCACTCTTGGATTTTAAGTGCTAGTGGGCAGAACAGAATGTTCTTTTGTTAAAAATTGTAGCTTTCCTTGTCATTTTTATTTCCTTACTTTCCCTCAGGCTTACTTCATTTGGTTGGTAATATTTTTGTTTTTTTTGGGGTTTTTTATTTTTTTGTTTTTGTTTTTTTTTTTTTTTTTTTTTTTTTTTTTTTTTTTTTTTTTTGTCAAATTCTCCTAGTTTCTCCTCTTACCCACCTGCCAATATTTTGACTTATTTTTAATTCGTGTTAATTCTTGTTATTGCCATTCCATGGATCTCTCAAATTCTTGCATATTAAGTGATTTCTACCATGTCTAGAGTCGTACTTTGCTGAAGATGTTATAAATTATTGTTTTTATATTCTGGGGATTAACATGTACTAACTTTAATATAGTTCATACCTATTATTCAATAAAAAAAAAAAAAAAACTTTTTTTTTTTTTTTTTTTAAATTGTTGATTTTGTTTTGTTTTTTAGATTCACACAGCCTCCCCAAGAGTTGTGGGATTGGTTTGAAGCCTATCTTGATGATGAAGAGGTATGTAACAAAATAATAAAAAAAGAGAAACAAAGAAAAGTCCCTCCCACCTAACTTGACCTTTCTGAAAATAAATGAGCATTTATGAAATTATTTTTATTTTTTTTTTTTTTTTTTTTTTTTTTTTATTATAAATGATTTTCACATAATTCAAAATTTTGCATATCATTGCACAAATCAGATGTTTAATTTATTTGCTCTTACATTTTGATAAATGTTTATTAGTACTAGATAGTTTTATTTGTTTAACTAGTTAAAAAAAAAAAGTTTGATTAGGTGAGTAATAATAAATATAAGTAAATATATTTCTCATAGTTGACAATACCACCCCCATCCTTGAGATTATTGAAGATGGAGAAGGGATATGAAAGCATTACTTTTGTAGTTGGATGTAGGCTTATAAGTAACGTAATAATTGACCTTGGTACAGTAAATTTTCATGGTTTAATTTAGGAAAAATCTTTGACACTGGAAAATATTGTGTGTATTGAGTTATTCAAGGTTACTTCTAAATAATAGATGATGTATATTCTTTTATATCTAATTTAAAACAAAACCCCTTCAACTCTTGTGTTGCTTCTTGGTACCCTATAAATTATGGTGAGTATAAAAATCAACCATTTTCTTTAATCTGTGTGATTGCTTGTGTGAATGCTTTTATGTAAAAGACCTCAATTCTTGCTATTTTTATTATAACAAATTGATAATATTTTGATGATCATCATCATTCATCTTTAGAAAGTAACATTTAAAATTTAAATTAAGATGCCAATTTGAAATGTTTTAAACTAAAACATTCTTAATTATTATTACATTACTCTTTATATTAATGATTATTTTGAACAATTACAAATGTCTATTGCAGAGAAGTCATTTTGAAACAATCTACACTTTTTCTCGGAAGGCCATTGAAAGTTAATTAAATATTTTTTAAAGAATGTATATTTTTTTCTTTTAATGCAAACATCAGTTTTGTAAAATTTCTGTTTGTCAGATCCTTGATATTTTTGACACACTTGTAGAATAAATTTTAAAATTTTTATATTTTAATTAGTATTAAGTAATTGTTTTATGGTTTTAAAAGACTTGTGTTCAAGACAGATGTGTTGCTTTGACATTTAACAATATTTGATTACAATAATTTTTACTTTTGTTCATATCTATTTACTATTGTTAAACAAAAATTTTATGAAATGATTGTATCAGATTGTAAATTTATTCCTTTATTTATGTGTATTTGTTGTGGGGGAGACATATATTATCTAGTTTTCCTTGTGTTAATTATTATTAGTATTTGCGATAACTATATTTCATTACTTAATATGAATCATTTAAAGTAATTGAGTGACAGTTTCAGAATTCAAACATTCAATTTTTTTTGTTTAAATATGAATTATGTGCCTCCACAAATAAAAGATAGTAGATAAGAAAAATAATGCTATATTGTTATATTAAGTTTTCTAACTAGACAGATGTTTTATTTTTTGTGTATTTGGGGTGTGTGTGTGATTGTTTGCTGTGCTCTTGGCTGCTAACCTTGCCTACAGTTGCTGTTTTGTATAACTTCAGGGTGTTGCTCTAGGCCCAGCCAGTGGCAGTGAAGAGGCAAGCTGCACCTCAGACTCTAGAGGTTATGACCAAAGCAGGCTAAGCTGCTGCTTGTTTTACTTATTTCATGGCTACTTCTACCACCACCACCATCATCATCAGCATCGACACTACCACCATCAATTGATATCACCTCCTCCTCCAGTCTTAATTTATATGAACGTCAATTACATTTGCATATATACACATGATCCTTTCTGCAATAGGCAATGAACAGTTTAAAAAGGAATAAATTAAGATACAAGAGAAATAAGTTGTAAACTGAAATTTATTGATACATGTAATAGTTTTATAATAATAGCAAAGTGCTTTGTTATAATTGGTATGTTTTTGAAATAATGAAGATTATAAAAAAACTACTGCATTATCAATAATGCAGCTATAGCTTTCATAACTTTTTCTTGTGCATCTTTTTTCTTTCCTTCATTGTTCACTGCTAAAATGTATCTAATTATAACTTAGACATTTTGAAATACACAAAACACACCAGAAAAGTAAACATTCTATTTTTAAATTTTATTTTTCCTGACCCTTTGTTTAAATGATTGTTAAATTTTAAAAGAAAATGGAGGAAAAGTATATTTGAGATAAAGTACATTATTACAATTGTTTACTTTAGGCTAATATCCTCATTTTTGTTGTTTATCATCACATTTTAATCAATGTCTTATTTGAATGCCTGTAGGTGTCTTGCTTTTGTAAATCAGAAAAAAACAGATTTAATGTTTTTGATTTTAATTTATATTGATGTGAGGAAGTGGTAATAATTGAACCTCGACTCCCTGGCTAATAAATAACATTTGATTTTGTTATTAATGAACTTCATTAATGTCATACTAATGAATAACAACATGATTGTTTTTTGTTATTAACAGTTGATCTTATATTTAAGCAAAGTATTATAATTTATGACACCTGGAGGCACTTAGAAGATGCTGGTTCCAAATGGTGTGGTGATAAAAGCAACAAAAAGTGTTGATGTTTGCCTTCATAACTTTATGGATTGTGAAAGTTTAACAATTCTATCTGAAGTGTGTATAAAAAAATTCATTATGCAAGTCATTAATCATTTAAGATGTTTTTAAAAAGTTGATATTTTAAATAAATGCAGCTATTTATAAAAAAAAAAAAAAAAGTCTCCAAAAATTTCTCTAAGCCCTGAATATTAAGTAAATTTTGTCTATAACAATGTTTTTCTTCCTTTGCTCATCTACATATGTAGAATAAAAAAAAATCTCACACCAACATGATTTATTTCTCACCATTGTCTTTCAGTTATTGTATATTCATAAACCTCTGGTAAAGTGCCATTAGAATATATTTTGTAAATATTTCTTTAATGTTTATTGGTTTTCACTTGTATTAAATAGTCTTTAATGCAAAAAATATGTTGTAAATGATAGTTTTTATCTTGTCTTTATATTACAGATGTGTACAGTTTTAGTATCTGTTCTCACTTACAGAAAATAGCCACTGCCTATGCATATTTATATTATGAAGAAAAGTAACCAGAAATTTGACCATAAAAGGAAATTCTTTTTTATACAAGTTACAGGCACAATCATTCTAAAAATTATGCCAGTTGCTTTTTGCTTGTCTTGTGTTTTAACTTTATTTAAAGGTTCCCCCTCCCCAAATACTTTAAAGTTTATACTTGCTATAAAGCTTTTGAGTTGAAAGTTTTGAAATAAAATCTCTGAGATTTGAACTCATCACCAACAGTGTTACTAATGGTTTCATAAAGTTCCATGTGTCAAGCAAAATGCATTGTTAGCTGATTCCTGTGAAAAATTTAAAAAATGTCTTATGATTTAAAACAAAAGAAAATGTATAAATGAGTGATATTTATACCGCAGGATTATTTCAAAGAAATTAGGAAACTGAAATTGCCTCTTAAGCTTAGTACCTACACTATATACTTGAATTTTACACAAATTAATGGCTTTAATTTACTACTCTTGTCTAGAATTCTCAACAGCTTGAACAATTGAAGTAAACTAACCTATTTTCTTCAATTGATCTATTTGGTATGATTTTGGTGTGGAATGACACTCTTATGAAAATTATTTTACCAAAAAAAGAGTTGATTATTCTTGCAATGGCTATTTTCTGTTTTGATATATTTACATGTTTGATGTGCCTTTTAATTCTTTCCTGTTTGGTCTTCTGTGTTTTTAGTAATTGGTCTTTTAGTACCAAAATATGAGGCCATTGCCTCTCTCTTTATCTGCACAGTTGGGTAGAGCAAGACCCTCTTTTTTTTTTTTTTTTTTTTTTTTTCTCTTTCCAGTTAAATTTGTTTTTCTTATATTTTTCTTATATTAATGTTTTCTTTTTTTTCTTTTCACTTTTTCTTTTTCTTGTCCCCCTCCCTCCATTCTGTTTCTTTCTGCCCTTCTCTCAGGAAATTGATGTGAAAGCTGGTGGTGGACACAGCATGACGATTGGTGAAATGCTTCGACATTGGTTTACCAAATTGGAATGGTATTCTACACTCTTTCCTCGTATTCCTGTCCCCACACAGAAGGATCTTGATGAGAAGCTAAAAGCAAGGGCTCTGTCCAAAGCTCAGGATGGCAAACCAGTTGGCCCACTTCCTGTCATTTGTAATGGTGATGAAGGGATGGAAGAGGAAGCAGAAGAATGGAATGAAGAGGAACCGAATGCTGCTGTGGATGTTGGCAGCAAAGGGTAAAAAGCATTTCAGCATTTTTCTTCCTTGCCTTTTAGTAAGAAACAAAAGATGAAATTTTTGAAATTTAAAAAACAAAAAAAAAAACAAACATTTGAAGTGTGTGTTCTGTAACCCATGTACTGCAGCCAAAACAGCAGTATGTCTAGGGCAAGATATCTTGGTAGAGCCCATCTCTTATTGGAATGATTTTGAATTTAGTTTTCTTTCTCTTAGGCTGGTTGCCACTTCAAGGCAAAATAGCCCAGTCAGTCCTATTTAATCCATAGCTGGGGGACATAATGAATTTGTACCTTTTTCCAAGGATATTTGTGCAGAAGTGAATATATACTCTGTTTGATTTTTCACAGATGCTAATGGTTACACAAGGTTTTAAACTATAGACATCCAAATGGGGGATCTGTAAGCATAAATTAACACTAGAGATTTCAATTATTTTAAATCCCAGGCTTGTGGCTCAATTGTTGAAAAAATCTGACTGTGATGTCAGTGCAATTGAATTGATATATTTAAAAAGAATAATTGAAAACGACCCATTATGAGTGGATTTTATATAAAAGTTTATTGATTTCTCTTTCAAATGATACCTCCTAAATTTAACCTCCTTGCTATTATTGGTTTTGACAGATGGTTTTACAAAGTTGTAGATTTCCAGTTTCTTTTTTAATAAATGTAAGTCTCAGAATTTTTTTTTGCAGTCATTTCTTCTTTTGTTCTACAATCATCTGATTAAATATGGCAGAAATTCTTGTCATTTCCAGTAAATGGGTTAGGACTTTATTGGTAATTGATATTGTAAAGTATTAAACACCCATTTGTAATCTCCCCACACACACTCTTGGGATTATAACAATTTTACACATTCTCTTTTGTTCAGTTTCCTAAGCAGAAACAAAATTTGAGAGGTTTACAATATATGACTTTAAATGTAAAGCTTAACAAAAGTATAACAAATAAGAATTGAGGTTGTGAATGCATGGTGTGGGGGATGAGGCACAAATGTGCAGCAGAAAGCAGTGTTGGGGTGATATTAATGTAGTAAAGCACTGGTTTCATAAATATGTAAATGATATCATTTACATACTTCTCTAAAGGAACATTTTTTTTTTTTTTTTTTCCTATTTACACCAATCAAGTCTTTTGGAGAGATTATTACTTACGCTTAGTCATAAGCAGATAATAAAAAGAAAATTAAAAAAAATAAATGAAATAAGATTATATCTCTAATTTTTTTTCCTTCAGCTCAAGATCGCCAGAAAGAAGACGATATGATAGATCCTGTGATAAGTCTACACCACATCGGTCACCCCAGAGCAGGAAGTCACCAGACAGGCACAGAAGCTCCCATTCACCTCACCGGAGGAAATCCCCAAGGCACCGCTCGCCTCATCACAGAAAGTCATCCCCTCCTCCATTATCATCATCACACAGAAAACTGTCACCAAGTTCTGGTCACAGCAAATATTCCTCAAGTTACTCGTCCTCTGCTCAGCATTCTTCTTCCATGGATGATTTTGCTGTGGAATTGGCTCGAGAACGTGAACGACAGAGACGGGAACGTGAACGTGACTGCAATGGCAAGCCCAAGGACCACCATCACCATCATCACAGGCATCATCATCATCATCACCGCCACCGCCACCATCACTCTACCAGCAGCTCCAAGTCAAAAGACAAAGAGCCAGGAGGAGTAGGAAAGAATGCCTCATTTGTGAAGGAGAAGCATCAGTCAACCAGCCGTTCACCCAATCGGTCCAGATCTCATGAGAAGAACCATTCCAAGCGATCACATTCAAAGGAGCACAAGCACTCCAAGGCCCCAAGCATGTTGTCAACGTCATCAAAACACAAGAAGCGTTCTCGATCCAAGTCAGTCGAGGAGAGGCCTAGTGGCGATGGCGGCAACAAGAACCACAAGAGTCGATCGCATCACAAAAAAGATCACTCACAAGATGGTGAGCGTCGTGAAAAAAAGAGCAAAAAAAAGAAGCATGATCGAAACAAAAGCAAAGAGAATGGTGACTATCACAACTGAAAGGAATGACTTGAAGATAGAAATCCAAGGCAGAGAAGTTTTTATTTTAATGGGTGAATGGTACGTGGAATTTGTTGATTGAATTCATTTGACATGATGCCTATCTGCAATTGAAGACTTATTTATCTCTTTAGTGTTTTTTTGTAATCAGCATCTATTGACAATGACATTAAAGATATTTACCATAAACTATAAAACATGAACAACCAGTACTTACTATTGCCAGTGGTAGGCTCTTATTTTTTTTCTTCTTCTTGGTATTCCTTCCTTTTTTTTTTTTTTTCTCTCTCTCTCTCTCTCTCTTTTAGCCAATATGGTTATGAGGCTAAGGATCATGTGTGGTGTTTTTCTGGAGGGAATAGATTATATTTTTCTTTTCTCTTCCACATTTTAGCTGAAAAAAAAAACTTTGGTGATAATTTTTTTTTTTTTTCCTCCTCAATTTACAACATTTTCTTTTTTCTTTTTTTTTTTTTTTTTTTTTTAATTTAAACGTTTTTATATTCATAAATATATTTTTTAACCTTTGATCTTTAGCCTCTATCCCTTCAAAAGAAAAATTCACATGTCCATCAATTTTGTACAGCTTGTTGACATCACAACCACTCCCCACTCCTTTTCTTTCTTTCTATCACTTCTTGAGAATAATCATTATTCCTTTCAGGAAATAAAAAAAATTGTTAACTAACAACTATTATTGTCATTTATTCAAGAAGATGAAGATAATTTACTGTGTTATTCAATCAATTTCCTGCCCAAATGATTAAGTAAAAATTTTTTTTTTTCTTTGGCTACATACAATAATACTTTTTCTTGTAAAAGCTGATGGCTTACCAGGGATTTATGGGGCAGGTAATAATAGGTCAGTTTTGAATTTTAGCAGATTTATCTCTTAATTCTTACTGCTTACCAACAATTCTAGAAGTACAAGGTTATCTGGAAAGTTCACGCTGATTTTTAAGGGAAATTAAAACACAAATTATGCCGTTTAAATATGAACCATTTTGTTGCACAACCTTTCTTTATTTTTTCTTTAATTTAAAGATTACATTGTCCTAGAATTTCAATGGTTTCTCAGCAAAGAACTCATTAAGGTGGTGTTTTATGTCCTTGAAAGAATTAAAATTTTTACCATTGAGATTATATTGCAAGGACTTGAATAAATGAAAATCCAAAGGAGCAATATCTGGTGAATATGGCGGGTGGGGTAATATCCCAGCCAAGCTGCAACAATTTTTTGCTGGGTCACCAAATAAATGTGTGGTCTGGCATTATTCTGGTGGAAAACACCTTTTCTGTTTGCCAGTTCTGGACTTTTTTTTTTTTTTTTAATTGTTGCCTTTAATTCATCCACTTGCGAGCAGTACTTTTTAGAATCAACTGACTAGTTACTTGGCAGAAGCTCATAGTACGGGATTCCGTTCTAATCTCACCAGATGCACAGTAGACTTTTTTAGGATGAAAACCTGCTTTTGAAGTGGCTACACTTGTCATTTACCACGGCTGTTTAAAACCCTTCCTTTTGTCATATAGGAAAATCCAACATGGTGTGTAAACGAAGTATTCAGCGAAAAATCCCATTCATCAGTAACATTTTAAACATCTCATAGAATGGAGTTCTTAAAGCAAACCTGAATCCTTGACTTGGCAAAAAAACTTTGTTTCTGGTGGTCAGGAATTGCAGATAAATCTTTCGCCTTTTACTAAAGGTTTCTGTGGCCAAGTGTCAATTTTTTTAACCCCTAGCAGTCAATTGAAAATTACCAATGGACTTTTGACCCCCTAGGAATGTTGATTTCCTTCAAAACTCTCAATTTTATGCCTGAAATAGTTTGATTTCTGATTTCCCCAAAAAAGAAAAATGGTTAATTTCCCATTAATAGGGAAAATTTTTTGTTTAGAACTAGAAAAAAAAAAAAAAAGTCAAATTTTTACTATATTTTTTTTTTTTTTTCACATTTTTCCCAGAGTCATTTACACCAGCCGGTTTTACTTTTAAATGAAAGAATATATCCTTTGCTTTCAGAAAATACCTAGTTTCATGGGGTTCAGATCAAATGTTTCCTTGATATTTGTTCAGCTGAAGACAAGTCATTTTTCAATATTATACCCTTTAAAAGTATGAATATCCATTTTTTTTTTTTTTTTTTTTTTTTTTTCAGAAAATAAGCTGTGACAAAATGATTTTTGCCATTTTTGTGATTTTCACTTGGGATAGAAAATTTTTACGATAGCAAACCTGAATTGACTTTATTTAAGTTTAGTGGGGCTATAAGGAAACCTCAAACATCTGTTACCCTAGGATCTTTTTGCTGAACATGATCCATTTCTCATCACACTTTGCTTAAAAATGGGTACATTTTCGTTGTTCACACAGCAAATTACAGATGAAAATGCCACCCAAGATTCTTTTCATTCAGATTATGTGGTACCCAAACTTCACTAAGTGCTCATGGATGGTTGCTTTTGATAAATTTTAGTGTTTCTACCAGTTCCAGTGTTTTGGCATGTGGGTTATTCTTAATGTCTTGATTTGGTTGTCATGTGTAGTGGGTGGAGTTTGCCTGAGCATTCATCAATAAGGCTACACTAACCAACTCAGAACTGTATGGATGTGGCTTGTCAGCTAAAGCACCTTCACCATACACAGCACATTTTATTTATTGGTGCTTTTGCCTTTATGGTTAAAAAAAAAACAAAAAAACATTGTCTATAAGGCACCTTGTAACTTCTATTTTTATAGGGAGGCAAAATTGACACAAATAAAGATAGTTTGAAGTGTGCTCTAATTGGAAATGAAAGCATATGTTGATAAATTTGTTGGAACATGTACTAAAAAAAAAAATGACAAACTTTCTGGACAACCCCCAAAATATGAAGCAATGCCTAACTCTGGATTTTACCAGCAAGTGAATCTATAATTGGTGGTTGGAGTTACTGGTATGGATTTTACAAGTGAATTAATTTCTACTTGGTTCTAGTTATGACACTGACCAGCAAGAACAGTTGACCTTACCACACCTTGTGAGAATAATTGTCCTTTAAAAAGATTTGCCCAGCTTAAGAATTGGAGACTAAAGTTCCATTTGAAATGGTGAACCATTTTATTCAGTGTATTTAGGTGGACCACATTACCAAGAGATTGGGAAGGGTTAATCTGATAAGTAGTAACTCTCACTGAATAAATTTTATTTCTACCATTTGTTCTGAAAGTCATTTTCTTTACTTACCTTGTAACTTACTTTCTTTGCTCCTGAGGAAGACTGCCCTCACCCCCCAACTTTTACGTGGGTGGGAAAGATTAGCCTCAGTCCTCTTACTTCACCAATAAAAGACATTTGTTTGAGGGAGTGTCAATTAGAAACTTATTGCTTTGATAAATACTAGTGGTACCTGTGGAAATTCCACATTTTTATAATACTGACTTTTAGGTTAAATTATGAATGCAAGTAATGTTTCCTCACCACCATTGGCATTTATTTGTACATTCATAGCAAATATAATCTACCAGTTCTTTAAGGAAAAAAAACTGACTGCTGACACCAACAAATTTACAATTAGTGTTTTAGCACCCCCTCCCCTCCAGTCAAAAAAAAAAAAAAAATTGATTTGAAAATTCTTGTTTAAAAAAAAGTCAGATTTTAATGAAACTTTCAGGACTTATTCACAAATGAAGGATCGTTTTGCCCCCCATCCCCTACTCATTACCTATCAATAAAACTGACATTAGGAAAAAAAGTCATTTATAGAAGCAATTAAAGATGCTTGTCCTTAATTTTTTTTTTTCAAATTATAAAATTCTGCATAACTTTAATTGTGCTAGGTGATATTAAGTAAAAACTATTTACTAATCAAAAATTGAAAAGCTTAAATACAGATATTGCACCAAAATTTAAACAATTTTTTTTTTTTAAATTTTGTATATAGATGCTAGATGCCCATACACATCAGAAAATAAGAGCAATGACAAGCCAACATTCCTGAAATAAGATTATGGAGTACCTAATTATACAAAAAGGTTTTCACCTGTCATTTTCTTAAATTGTTTTAACAGAGTCTTTAAAAGAAAGGTGTCAACACTCAAACAAGGCTACTATTTAAAAAATACATGTACCATTTTTAAAATTAAAGTAGACCCCCCTCCAAATCAGATTAATTATACTTTAAAATGAGTTAATATTCCTTTAAATAAAGTTAAAAAAAATTTCTTTCCAGTCAGATTAATTTTTGAAATACAGCAAAGAATTTTTGCTTATTGGAAATATTAAATTTAATCTGTTAAAATTAAAACTAAAAATCAAGAAACATTTTTCATAAATCGTTTTGTGGCGGTCCTTAGACTTAGGCAAGCAACTCTCAACCAATTTTATTTATTTATTTTTTTTTGGTAAGATGCAGGATATTTTCCATGTTTGCACTTAATTTTTTACTGAAATATTTTTTATTTATATAAAGAAATCCCTGAAAACAAGATTATTGATCACTAGCATCTAAAACCCCAAAAAAGAAGGGTGTTTTCATATACAAGATAGATCATGCTGAATTAAGCCAATATTAAATAAAACAAATAGCTGTTTAAATAATTAGAGCAATAAAATGTTAGCATTTACTTGTTTGTTAATCACAACCCATTTATTATTTTAACAGCATGCTTTAATTAATAAATTTGCATCAATTACTTTCATTTGAAAGGCATGACCAACATTTTACTTACATAAACTGTAGCACAATCTTAAATCTCAATTCTGTTTCTAGTGAAAATTAAACCAAGAAAAAAGATGAAGGTCTTAAAATAAAGTGAGTGAGTATTTCGAATTGAAATCTCTAGTTATTGACTGTAACTCAGAAATCTGTCAAACTGCTAACATAAATTTAGTTTCTTACATTTGGTTTGTGGGGTACATATGCAACAAGATCAAACTTGTTATTGAAAAAGCAAAGAGAAAACTCAGTTTTAAAAGAATTGTTTATTTTTTTTTGTCTTTGGCTCCGGATGTAATCAATGTTTGATTGGAAGTGTACATTTTTTTTTTTAAAAGATAAAATCTTGATCACAGTGAAAATGTTCAACAATAAAACACTCATGCATCTGATTTGTCAGGTGTTTTTTGTTGTTCACTTAAGAAACATTTGTCAAATAAATTAAAATATCCTTGTTTAAAGAAAAAATATATACACACAAATTAAAATTCCATTATAGACAAATATACAGTTTTTTTTATTTTTTTTTTAATAATCTTGAAAACGAAATAAAAACACCATTCAACTTTCCATTTCTCATTAAGGTAAGCCTTTTTCCATTATGCTGGCCACAAATGCCTTGTCTTTCAATGCATCTTCCAGATCTCGTTCATCCAAACGAAGACTGACCTAAAAGGGAAAAAAGAAGGAAAAAAAAAAATCAAAACAAATTTTAAGTTTGTCTGTGCAACAAGATTGTACACACCAGGAACTGGAAATGCCATATATATATATATATATATACACATACACACACTTTAGACATTAAAGACCAGGTTTTGAGTTTCTTGAGTGGGATTCATAATTTGGTTATATATAAACAAAGCATGAGCCATCACCGATTTTTGCAGTTTAAGAAAACCACAATTTCAAGTGTCTGCCAATTCTATTTTCAGAGTTGCATATCATTACATTGCTAAGAAAATGAACATCTTCATAGAAGATTCTCTTTCTTATAGAACATGGTTGTCTTAACATAATTTGATATCTACAGGTATGGGTATGAAGAGTAGTAAAAACTGGGAAGCCACCAAGTTGATGAATTTGTAGACTCGAAAGGATTAAAACTAATATATACAGAGATGACTAAATTATTTAACCAAATATCGAAAATTGTGATACCTAAGGTTTAAAATGAAAAATCTTTATTGAAGTTTTTATTTTAATTTCAAGCTAATAGATTAAATTCAACATTCCAAAGACTGAGAAAAAGAAAGTTTTTTGTCGAGTTTTCCTAAAAATATTTCAAGCCTTGAAAATTTCATTAAAATCTAAGAAATACTTGAGTTTTGCAAGAATTTAAAAGTGCAATTAAAGATCACGAAGGAAACGTATAAATGGGAACTAGTGTGACCAAGTGATCACTATTCTCTATACAAATTACTATTTGGCAATTAATGTTTGAATAAGTATTATTAGTGTGAGCATTATTTGAAGGTGTTACACCTACCAGCATCTGCATTTACAAAGTCTTGTCTACAATATATATATATATATATATATATATATATATATATATATATATATATATATATATATATATATATATATATATATAAAAAGAGAGAAAAAAAAAAAAAACAGGAACTAAGAATTTTAATAGTAATACAGTTCAGTTTTTTTGTTTTTTTTTTAGGCAAACATGTAGGTGTGTGCAATCTGAAGGCAGCTGTGCAATGGTGTTTGTATTGTCATAAGTGAAACTGGAGGCCTTGACATCTGTGACAATTTGAAACATGTTTTCTTAGCATTGATAGCCATCCACTGACATTGGGCAATAAAGTGACTTCAGGAAGACAGCTCACCTTGTTAGGGAATAAAAAAATAACATGAACAGAGATCTATCTTGAAAAGAAAATGTACCTTCATTAATCTGGGCTCTTTGCCTTTTTTGGTGGAAATAATCCCTCGGGTATCCAATAATGAACACATGTTGATAAACTCAGACTGGTCCACTCCCACAACATTATAACGCTGACACACTTTTTTAAACATATTGTGTAACTGAAAAAAAATTAAATAAATAAATAAAGCAAGAGGAGTGGGGGAGTGTACTATATATACACACATGGTACCATATCTATGTTATAATATCACTTTCAATATGATGCTTAAATTGCCAGCTGCAACAAGTTTCACATACACTAAATACATCTGGTCTCCATGAAAACACCGTAATGCAAGAATATATGTCATTGTATTAAATTAACCTTTGTATTTCAAGGTAATAGACTAAGTTTAATATTTCCAACAAGCAAAAAAACTTTGCAGTATCTCAAAAACTAGGAAAAAAATTTTTTTAACTTGCTAGAAAGGATTAAAAATAATAAAATCAAAAAGAATGGCCATAAATTTTGACAATAAAGCTTTGGTTTTATCAAATTTAGGGACTTTTTTTTCATGCTATGCTGCTTTGAAATTTTTTTTTTTTTTTTTTAGAGTTTTGCTGTAAATTAAAAAAATACGCTCAGACACCAAGAATGTATTTCATATTGGTAAGGGTGATAGAAAGAAAACTTTTCCATATGAGTAAAACAGGCAAAATGCTAAATAAAAAAATCATTTGAATTCAACCACACGGAAAAAGGTCAAGCGAAGGCAAATCAAAGGGAAACAACTTACATTGCCAAGATTAATTTCTTTGGCTGGTTTTTTCCCTTTCTTCAATAAAAGCAACAAAGTACAGACTGCAATCTTTTGCTGGAGTGGAATGCTTTCAGAGTCTTGGGTGGAAGCGATGACACGGCAACCATACACTTCACTGATGACTCGAGCAATGTGAGGAATTCCAATCTTCTTCGGTGCAACATCCGACTTTTTTGTAGGGCTATTGCTTTCTGCGAAAGGGAGAGAGAGAGAGAGAGAGAAAAAAAAAAAAAAAGAAGGTGGGGTCAGTTTCAGGTGAAAAATTCCAAGGGAAAAACTGCCTGAAAAGAAATTGAAGAGGAAGGGTGAAGAGAGAGAATTATATATATATATATGTGTGTGTGTAAAAGGAAGGTATGCTAGTCTGGAAAACTTAAAGGCCTCGGACTCAAGAGGTAGTGCTGGAAAAAACCTGTGTCTGGCAGCAAGAATCTGCAACGTGCCACACAATTTCTGCAACCATATCACCTCTTGCATCTGGCTTATCTAATGCCCCAGACTGCAATCCCCTTAATTATTATGTGGTGGGTGCAGTAGAGTAAGAGACCAGCAAAACACCTGGCAACACGAAAAATGAACTGAAGGTAAGGATTATGGCAGCATTTACCAACCTGGACAAGGTGACCGGTCAGAAAAAGTAGTCAGTCGTTGATGCCAATGACAATTTTATTAAATAGATTTACTCTATTATTTGAAGATATTTTTGAATAATTTAGACAATTTATCCACTGTGTGTGTGTGTGTATATATATTTTTTTTTTTTTTTGACTTGGCCTTCCATCACTGGAAATTTTTGCCTCTCAATTGGAGCAGTTTAAGTTTAAAGTCAGCCCACCTGAAAAATCATTAGTAACAACAATTGGGTGCATTTCGGAACCACTCCTATGTCTTCAATCTTGCTCCAGTCTCATGCACAGTAGCAGCTGAGAGGCGCTTCTCCTCAGCCATTGTGCCTTTTGATCAGAGGGAGGGAGGAAGGTAGGTAGGTAAAAAAAAAAAAAAAAAAAAAGTTTTCGATTGATTTTCCATCTCCAAGGTTGTAATTTTTTTTTCCCAGCCAATTTGTACACAAAACCAGCACAGAAGAATTAAAAAAAAAAAAAAAAAAAAAAAAAAACGAAACCTGATGAAAACTGTAGGACCACATAGACAACACACATTTTGAGAATTATATATATATATATATATATAAATGAGAGAGAGAGACAAACAACCACCCTGACATCCTATTGTCCCAAGAGACCCACTCCTTTTTCAATTGCTTCCTTCTCATATATATTCATTTAAACACCCCCCATGCAAATTCATCTACTTAAAAGTTCTCCTCCTCCTGCTGCTGCTGGCTCTACTCAGAGAATTGGATGGGTGGTGTTAGGAGATTGCATGTTTGATGGAGAAAAACAAGAGGCTTACCTGTAGGCTGCAGAACACTTCTAAGTCTAACACTTGTTTCCACTGTTTCAATTGCCCTCCGACAAATGTCCAGAGCTCTTCGCATGTCTCCAGCCACAGCCGCAACTTTACGAGCACAAAATTGAATGGCACTTGGTTCTAGCATACACTGACCACTTTCTTTGATCTGAAATGGTGAAGTAAAAATTAAAGGAATTAAACTGAGGAATAATCTAGCTAACCTCATTGAGTGAGAGGTGCACAGTTGGCATATTCCACAGCCCCAGATTTTATACACACACACACACTAAAAGATGTGGGGTGGAGTAAAGGACTAAGCTGGAATTCCTCACTTCAGAGCCAAATGGTAGCCACTTGAGAACCTTTATGCTAGATTCCACACATACAAATTAAATTGGATATTTTAAAATTGAAACATAATATATTGGCATGTTAATAGGAACGAGTTTCTTATTCTGGAATTTGAAGGTTTGAAAATATTTGAACCTGCAAAACCTTAAGCACTGAGAGCCCAATAACCACCATGGTCAGGGCCTAAATGCTCAAGGGTGAAGAAGTCCAGTTTTTATTTTTGATGGACTAAAACCACAGCCTTCAAGTCTTTGAAGGTGCGGGGAACGCCATCAAGAGGTAGAATAAAGAGCTGAATGTACCTGAATGAGAGGTGCTAGAGAGAGAGAGAGAGGTGCTAGAGAGAGAGAGAGAGGTGCTAGAGAGAGAGAGAGCTAGAGAGAGAGAGAGAGGTGCTAGAGAGAGAGAGAGAGAGGTGCTAGAGAGAGAGAGAGAGGTGCTAGAGAGAGAGAGGTGCTAGAGAGAGAGAGGAGGGTGAGAGAGAGAGAGAGAGAGGTGGAGAGAGAGAGAGGTGCTAGAGAGAGAGAGAGGGAGGTGCTAGAGAGAGAGAGAGAGGTGCGAGAGAGAGAGAGAGGGAGGTGCGAGAGAGAGAGAGAGGGAGGTGCGAGAGAGAGAGAGGGAGAGAGGGAGGTGCTAGATTTTTTGTTGGCTGGGGGTATATTTGCCCTAATCTTCTATGCCAATCTATCACTTAAATTTCACTAGTCTTCAGGTGTAAAAAAAATGTACAGTTGTATATGGTTACATAACATACTGATTAGACCAAATTTGATAGCCAAATCTACTTAGACTGGTACATCCAATTTGCAATATGTAGTGGTACTGTACTTTGAGATAAATTACAATGATACACAAGCACATACATGCACTTTTCAGCCACAGAATCTTCACCAGGTAAAAATCTCCAGCCACTCACCTGTTCAAGTCTGTTTTCTATAATTTCAACAATCTGATCCTTTGTGTAGGGGACAAAATTCAGTAAAGTTGGTTTGAGTTCAAGTTGGGCTTGAAGACGGGGCAGAACTCTGTCAGTCAAATCCAGAGCATTTGCCACACCTAAAATTGCACAAAGAAAAAGTATTATTTGCTGAAAGAGTTTCTGCCACTTAAAGAGCAAAACAATGATATGGTTTATGCCAAAGATGGGGAGGTGTGGAGTAAGGGACAATTTGATCAGATAGAATTCCTTACTTGGTAGCCACTTGAGAAACTTTATGCTAGACCCACACATACAATACAAATTAAATTGGATATTAAAATTGAAACATAATATATTGGCATGTTAATAGGAATGAGTTTCTTATTCTGGAATTTGAAGGTTTGAAAATATTTGAACCTGCAAAACCTTAAGCACTGAGAGCCCAATAACCACCATGGTCAGGGCCTAAATGCTCAAGGGTGAAGAAGTCCAGTTTTTATTTTTGATGGACTAAAACCACAGCCTTCAAGTCTTTGAAGGTGCGGGGAACGCCATCAAGAGGTAGGAAAAGGAGCCGAATGTACCTAAGCATTTCAATTACATCAATGTCTATTTTCAGTTTGGACGTGACTTTTTGATTACTTTTGAACAAATGCAATCAAAACAATGACACAGGAACATAGTTACAAAAATGTCATAACCTATATATATATATATATATATATATAAAATTAAAAATTACTTTAAACATTATTTTTAGTGGATAATCATATTCAAGTAGATTGTTTATTTATTAGACAGTATTTTTTTTTTCTATCATCCTAAATATTTGAGGAATTTTATTAAAAAAAAAAAAAATTATGTGATTTCTAATCATATTCAAACCTATACCTCCCACACAGAAAGAACTTCTGCCAAATCCAACCTGCTTTAACCAACTCTGCCACAAAGAACCTTTGCTGATCAAGCAAGGCTAAATTGTGCCTTTAAGTAAAATCCTTTTCATCAGATTCTCGAAATTTCATATTTGCTCATTTTTCTATCTGAATATAAATAAAAATTTCTAAAGTAACAGATTATTTATTTATTTGTTGGACAGATTTTGTCAATTTAAATAAAGATTTGAGTAGATGATCTGTTCATTTATTTTTGAACACTGGCCTGTAGCTTACAACAGTCCCTCTGCCCAGGAGAATGTTGGTTCAATCCCTGTCAGAGAGCACATTTTAAAGATTTCTCAAATATTCAGGCAGGCAGATGAAAATAAATAGTTATTTAATAAAATTTAATTTCAATTTAATAAATTTAATTTCAGCTGCAAGACAAAAACCTGTTCTCAAAACAAAACACATTAAAAAGAAATATTGAACTCACCAATGAGAATAAGAGATGAACGTTCAAGTGCTGGCCATTCAAATAAAGTGTAAAGGACCTCATGTTGCTTACTATCCAGTTGATCAATTTCATCCAAAATCCACACACTGTAAGTAAGAGAGAGTAGAGAAAATATCAATGAGTAATTAATTTTAAAGTCTTTGTTCTCTGTTAAATCACAATAAATCTTAACTGTAATTATGTCCAAGTCTCACAAGCTTTTCTTTCACACAGGGAATTTGTTAAATGTAGCCTTCTGCCACACATGCATTTGTTCAACTTGTGTGTGTGTAAAAAAAAAAAAATCTATCAAGACTGCTTGGAAATATTATCACACCATAAAATTGAAGCATTTTTGAAAAGCAAATTGTTAAAATGGAAGAGAAAGAAAAGATGGATATTTACTTGCTTATTTTACTCTGGCAGAGAAATTTCTCCATTTTTCTGGAAAGTTCTCGTTGAGAGGCACCCTTTTTAACACAGGTTTTCCCAGTGATTTCTGTGTACAGCTTATCATAGATGTCCATTGAATCTCTTACTCCCATGCAGTTAAGGTAGACAACATTGCATTGAGATTTGTTAGCCTGACAGGAAAAGACAAAATAAAGTTTACTGTCAAATATATAAAATATTTGAGTAATTCTGTTTAAATTGTTTTTTTTTTTTGAGATAGGAAAATTGCAAGCCACTGTGAACAAATATTTTTTGAGTACAAAAGGTGTAAAGAAAGAAAAAAGGTAAAACTTTTCCCCAATCCAGTCAAATGCCTGATAAATTAACCATTTGTACAATAGAGAAAATAAAATTAGTTTCAATAGCATGACACACACAAGCATCCATCAGCCTCAGAAAACTTTGCACAGAGTTTGCTAGGATGGCCACCTAACGTACAAGGTCTGTTAGGATGGCTAGCTAATCTCTGTTGCAGATGCCTGCTCAGTCACATTTAGGTTCCTTTAACACCCAGAGTCAACCAATGGTTTATACTTCAACTATGATAAGTGAACCTGTGAGATAGAGAGATCTGGTATGAATGATAATAGTACAAGGTCAACAGACTAGAGCACCCAGTCACACTGACTTGTGACTGTTAGTACAACCCTCAATGGTTTCCAATCTACCCAATTTTACTAAAGTCTTTAGTCAACTTGTGGTAGGGTTTTCAGGTACTTCCTAATAGTGATGAACACCAAGATTGTCTCCTGAGGCCAGTGGTTCTCAAATACACCCACTTTTCACCATGTCAAAAACTCAGCTCCCAAGATGAAGAGACTAAAAAGATGCATTCCAAATAATATGCATATATTATTGAAAATCTACACTCTTTTACATATTAGCACATATACATGGAGTTTTACAAATTTATTATAAAGGAGTTTTACAAATTTACAAGCAAACTGAACAGGAGTAGAGAATCTCTCCTATGACCCAGTCCATACCCACCCTTTTCTTAAATAAGAGTAGAGGCTCATCCCTTGTTCCCTGTTTAGGAGGGGGTTCCTAGTTCTTTTTCTTTTATTTGGCCTCAACAGTGGTGGTGTTATGAATTTTTTGTGATATGCATGGATGGTGCCTCTTCATACTGAGAATACCTGGTTGGCAGTTTTCTGATCTCGACTTGGAGTTAAGAGCCCAAACTCATGCAGCTGCTATGATCAACAGTTGCATAATATCAGGGTTCTTGCAGTGCCATGGTAGGGTAGCCTTGCATGTACCTCCAGGCCACAAAACCAGCCCAGCAAAAAACCCTAACTGACAGGATCCTAGCTGTCGTACTAAGTGATAGAAACCAGACAATATTACAGTACGAACATTCATGAATAATGAGAGAGAATAAAAAAGGCATATTAAAAATAAAGTGTTGGTTACCTTCAGGTTTTTCATCATTTCTGTGAGAACTGCAGTTTTGCCAGTGCCAGGAGCACCTGAAATATAAAGACTGCCACCTGTTCTAGCAGAGACATGTTTGTTAAGGAAAGTGTTGATCATAGCCTGCTCTTTCTCACGACAGACAACTCGTTCGGGCTGTGCAGTGTTCAACACCTGTTTCGTCTTGTGATAACATTGATTGGCTAAAAATATAAAAAGAATTTATATAAAGCAGCCATTTTACAAAGGGATATATATATATATATATATATATATATATATATATATATATATATATTTGGTTGGATAGATGCGAGTTTGTGACCCTGGGTTTCACGCTTTAGTGATCGTTACCAATACAGGCAATCTACATAAACCCAAATTTTAAAAAACATTAATCAGTTTGTCTGACGATCGCTAAAGCGTGAAACCCAGGGTCACAAACTCACATCTATCCAACCAAATATGTTAGCTCTATCTCTGATATTGAGCGCTTTCTAATAAGCACCGCGCATATAATATATAAATAATTACACACACACACACATATATATATATATATATCTATATCTCTCCAAACTAGGTATTTGTTGCATTATTAAAAAAAAAAAAAAAAAAAAATCACAGCACTCGAGGCAAATTAGATTAGTATCTGGCAGATTTCACTTTTTCATGTCCCCATATTTTCCCCATATTTTCCTCCTCCCTTTGATGGTAAAAAAAAAAAAAAAAAAATCTATCTGCATACTCCTTGCTATTTTGTCTGAATTCCTAAGCCATCATCCTTGCTGTCGTATCACACTTCAAGGTTATAGTATTTCAGCTTTGGCCAGGCCTACAGGAAATTGAGTGAAACCCTTTATTGACCTTCATACCTCCAATTTGTAGTAAGGGTTGCCAGTATTTGAAAGAAAACTTTGGAGCTCATTAATTGCGCAAAAAAAAAAAAAAAAAAAAAAAAAAAAAAAAAAAAAAGCTAGGTTGTTATGTAGCACCAGAATACTGGATACAGTAGGGTAACGGTCAAAAGAAATATATCAAACATTGAAGAAATAATACTAAAGCGCATATATATATATATATATATAAAAAAGGTAATTCAAGATTTACTACAGAACACATGTTAATGTTATTGAACTTCATTTACTCACCGTCAGGTTGTTTTTTAATGAGAATCTCTCGACAAGACTTGAGCTTAAATTCTTCTGCTGGCTTTGGTAAGGACTTCAGAGGAGAAGTCTTCTGTGGACTTGATAGAGAAGTCGGCTGGAGAGGGAATAAACATTTCTGTGTTTTGGAAGGGGAGCCCAAAATAGGGGGATCTCTCTTTCGTTTCTGTGGCGAGCACAGGTTTTCATCTGTTACTGGTGGTGGCCTACTGCAGCTTCGTTTCTCTGGAGAGAAGCACCGCTTCACGGGGCTTCCCAGTTGGTTCTGCTGAATATTTTTGATGGGAGAGAGACACTTCCGACTTAAAGTGGCACTGACTGCAACATCTTTGTTACACAACCCTCGTTGAGGAGTGCAAGGCCCATCACTGTTATTGGAAGGTATTTCTGCAAAATAGAATCGTGATTTTTAAGTCTACAAAACCCATGAGGAGGTGTGAATGGACTAACAACCAGCAAGAAAAATAAAACTTGTCAGTCAAGTTTAAAATTCCAGCTGAAAATTTGTATTCACTTCGAATTGGGAAAAATCACAAATCCCCCCCCCCACTATAAATGGGTTAAATAGCAGGGCATACTGCACTCTCTAGCCTTGGTTGGCAATGAGTTTAGAAGGAAAACTCCAAATTTAAAGCAGGCTACAAGAAACCACAACTATCTTTTCTCAAGACAATGCACAATTTGCAGATAAAAAAAAAGAAAAGAAAAAAAGAAGCTTAAGCATTTCCATTATTTAGCCAATAAAAAACTAAATCAGTTTTTTCATATCTCATTTATGTAATAATTAATATCCACATTCACAAACTGTATGTCTGCATACACACACATACTTTGCTGTCACCAACTTCACAGGCCAGAAAAACTTACACTCATGTGGACCCTACTGGTAAATGCACAACATATGCGGAGCCTCAAATCAGATTGTTCTTTCATGAATCTGAGACATGATCAGTGTAACACATCCACATTATCAGAAGCGGCCATCACATAGATCGGCAATCTGTTTACTACTCCTATCTAGTGGATTCTCCTGGTGACACAGATGTGTGTGTGTATATATATATATATATATATATATATATATATATATATATATATATGAGAGAGAGAGAATCTGAACAAAGTGAAGAAACCAGACTATGTGGTAAACCTTTTTGTATTGACAACACATCTTCAGATCAGAATGAAAGGTGTGTGTTCTTTGTATTAAAACACAAAGTGTTTGCTAGATTGGTGTCTTCCAGATGACATGAAAGAACAAAACTTTTTTTTGTATTAAATATTAATGTCTGTTTGCTAGATAGTGAGGAAAAAAAAAAAAAAATTGTCTTTCATTCTGACCTGAAGATATCCACCTAAGGCAAAACACATTGTCGATAATGATTTTTTTACTTTGTCCAGTGTGTGTGTGGATAGAACATTATCTGAAACAAAAAATGGAGAGATAATGGGACAAAGGGGAAAAGCCTTTTAACACCGTGTTTTGCTGATGTGTTAGGCTCAGCATCTTCAGGTCATTTAAACAGTCACACATATAAGGGATATATATATATATATATATATATATATATATATATATATATATATATATATATAAAACATCAATAAAGGCAAATTTTTAAAAAATATTTCATAATATTCCAGTGAATTGAAAGCCAACAGATTATGGTTAACAAAAGAGCATGAAAATTTTTTTTTTTTCTGCAAATGAATCCTGTGTTACAGAAAGAGACAGATACACACAAATTTATATACAATATAAATCATAGTAAATTTTAAAACATCATTGAAGTCTTAAAATTTCCAACGTGAGAATTCTTCCCACTATTTGACTATCAAAATAAATGACCAACCTTCATAATTATCCATGGCCTGGCATGCAGCTAAACATTAAAGAAGACTTTCTCCACTGAACAAATTTATTTAAAAAAAGAAAAAGAAAAAGAAAAAAAAAAGCCTATTTGATAACTGCTGAAAATCCTTAATGCAAAAGGTCATTTTAGTTGACAAATCAAAAGTCACCTGTCATCATGTGATGCTTGCTTAAAAACAAAGTCTAAATTTATGATATAAACACACTGGGCCCAGATAAGTTTGGCAATAAGTAATAATATTTATATTTGTGTGAGTGACATATTTATATATATATATATATTACTAATTTATCTATGCTGTCAAAAAGAAACAGCATTTATGAAATAGTTAAAGTCCTTATTAGTAGGTTTTCACACTTTAATCTTTAAATATATTTCTACAATTGTTATATTAACATATTAATTATACAGGGGGATCATTTTATTAATAAAAATAGAAAGTTAATCCCTCACTTATGTGAAATATTTTGTTATATCCTTACCATTATTAGGTTTTCCACACATTTATCAACTCGTCATGTAACCCCGAAAAAAATATTGGAACAGCACTCCATTTATAAATACACTGTCACATGTTATTGCACGTGCAAGAAAGATAACTAATACAGCAAAAAGAGAATATACAGATATAAATGTGGATGTGGTAGATATTTGTGATCCAGGCAAGAACTTCTTGTATTCAAATTTCAGATTTGATCTGCAAAATCCAAGGCACCTTTTGTAAAGAAATCATTCAAATTCTTTGCTAATGTACTTGTCAAATTATGCAAGCACTTTTTACATTTAGAAATTAATTTTAAAATAATTATTCAACAAAGAAATATTTGTGTAAAAGAGCACAAGACAACTTACCAGACTTGATAGGTTTGTTTTTCTTATCACAAACTTTGATGACTTCTTTTCTACTGCGCAACACAACATTTTTACGGACAGCAAATTCTAGTCTTCTTTGGACTTTAGCCTGGGCCATTTTAAAGTGCTAAAAATATAAATAAAATAAAATTGAATTTAAGATAACTCTGGAGCATTGAGAAATAGGATTTCAATTTTTATTTGTGATAGAAGAAATAGTTAGCATAGAGTTTACGGTTACATTTAGCCATTTCAACTGTAAAGTGATGAGATTTTACTGCCAATCTAATATTGTGCTTAAATTCATGAAGGTTAGGCCTCATGGAGGAAAGTTTATCAGAACAATTACCATGAAAGTATTGATAGAGAAAAACACGAAGTTACATTAAATCGGCAATGGGGGAAAGGGCTGAATGCGAGATGCCAGGCCATATTAAAAAAAAACATTGCATATTTAGATTTTATCAAAGAATCTTTAAATATATATAGGAGCGCCAGACTGGATATGTCAGTAATATTCTAAGCAAGGATGACTGATAGACTTATAAATAAAAGATTCTGGTAAGAAAAATTGTCTAGCACAGCATAGTGAACCAACTTTCTTAGCTTGCAGACTTGGCAATTGATTCAAAATACTCTTTTCACTTCATGTCAGCTGAAAATGTTATTCCAAGAAGGTGCAGTTGTGCTGGCAATCATTTAAACTGACTTTGTGTTACATTCAGTAGGGGTGTGTGTGTGTGTGTGTGTGTGCTGAAAAATACATGTTAAAGGGTTTCACTCAAAATTTACTGTAGAAGCATTGATAGACATGGATGAAGCTGGAATGCAATGACCCTGAAACAAGATAACGAAGATGAAGACCTAAGTATGACTGTAAAATAACTCCTCAAACACATACCATTGGAGACTGCCCATGTGGCTGGATTTTATTATTTTGGAAATTTAACATGATATTGAGTTAAAATGGCTTCCTAAGTTCATTGCTAACAGTTTCTTCTCTCGAAAACCATTATCTTCTGTTCCTTCTCCTTAATGTTTTCTTTTTCTCATTCCTTCACACCCAATAATCCTTTTTACTTGCTTGGAGAAAAAAAAAAAAAATCTATTTCTGCATTCAAATACCTAATTTAATAAGGAAATTAAACAGATTCATTTCGTTTTATAATTCACACTGACTTTAGTAATGTCTTCCTTAGTAATGTGGGACCATAGAAAATTCCGGGCTTTCTCTATCATTTCTTGAATAGTATTCTGGCATAGCTTCCATACGATTGTAAAAATTCTAACTTTTTTTATTCCTACTCAAATCTTTTTTTATCCAACCAATTGTACGAATGTTAACCAATTGGAATTTGTTCAAAACTTTTAAACAATATTAATATTTTTAATTTTAAATGAATCCCTACTGGGGACGTCTATCAAAAACAAGTTTAATTCCGTAGATTTTCTTTAGATCCTGAACAATATATTTGCCGGCTGATTCTGAAAAGCTCGCGCGTCAAAAATGTCCCAACCCACCCCCTTAAAAAAGAAAAGAAAAAAGCTAGCTACGTGAGGATTTTGTATGCAAAACCACTGACGAATCTGTTTTTTTCATTAAATTTAAATTAAAATGTAGAAGTAAGAATAGGAATCATTAGTGGCCAACATCTGACACCTGACGTCAAAAGAAAAAAAAGACAAGCAAGCCTAGATATTCAAATTGGAGAGGGGGAAGAAAACAAAACTTCAGTTTAAAAAGAGTTATTAAAAAAAAAAAAAAAAAAATCTTACCTACCCTCATGAACTGAATTCAACAAGCTCAACAAAAGCCGCTTGACCAAGGAAAGGGTCATGCTACGGGTGAGAGATTTAGAGGGCTAAGAGGACTTAAGTTTTTTTTTTAAATTATTAGCATCAGGCTGAGTCGGGTCATTCTCATGCTTAAAAACTTTCGTTTTTTACGATCAATATCAAAAAATTTCTGCCTAAAAGTGAGTGAGAGAGAGAGAGAGTGTGAGTGAGTGAGTGAGGAGAGAGAGAGAGAGAGAGAGAGAGAGTGAGAGAGAGAGAGAGAGAGAGAGAGAGAGAGAGAGAGAGAGAGGAGGAGAGAGAGGAGAGAGAGAGGAGAGAGAGAGAGAGGAGGAGAGAGAGAGAGGGAGGAGAGAGAGAGGGAGAGAGAGAGAGAGGAGAGAGAGAGGAGAGAGAGAGAGAGAGAGAGAGAGAGAGAGAGGAGAGAGAGAGAGAGGAGAGAGAGAGAGAGAGAGAGAGAGAGAGAGAGAGAGAGAGAGAGAGAGAGAGAGAGAGAGAGAGAGGAGAGGAGAGAGAGAGAGAGAGAGAGAGGAGAGAGAGAGAGGAGAGAGAGAGAGAGAGAGAGGAGAGAGAGGAGAGAGAGAGGAGAGAGAGAGGAGAGTGAGAGAGAGGAGGAGAGAGAGAGAGAGAAAAAAAAAAAAAAAAAAAAAAATATTTTTACATTAAGAAGAAGTATTTGTTGAAATTATGTCCTTCCAGTTAACTTTAAAAAAAGTTAAAAAATTCCATTTGGATACTTTTTTTGACAGTTTTGTTTGAAAGTGTCAATCTTTTCAATTGATAGTTTGGTTCGATTAATTAATCGGAATCCGAAATAAATGTTAATTTTTATTCACAAGTTCGAGATTTTTTTTCCCCAATTAGCAATAAAAAAATAAAATAAAATACAGTATCCCAGAAAAGAAAAGCATCTCTATTCCAAATTTTGCTTAATCACGTATTTAAAATTTAATAATTCATTTTTTTTTTTTTAAACTCTCCACGAGGGATTTTTTTTTAGAACTTTGGTAGTCAATAAAATTTTTTTTTTTTTTTTTTTTTAAATTGGATTATTAGAAATATAATCTAACGCTAAAATATTAAAATAAATTTGTCTTTGAGCCTACAGATTTAAAAGTACACAAATTAAAAATCGAAGATTTTATTAAAAAAATAAGATAAAATTACTAAAATATATGTAATGATCATAAAAATTTAATACTTTTAAAAATTGATAAAAGTTTACGTTAAGGAGTCATAAGAAAAAGTCGAGAAACATTTATTTCACTTACGTTCAAATGGATTCTAAAATTTAAAAACTTAAAGCGGGAAATATCTTCTAAAAAACTAAAAAAGAAATAAATTTCTAAGACGATTATTAATCCGACATAATCGAAACTTAATATGAAGTGATTTTTTTTTTTAAGTAATAATTTTTTTTAAAATTAAATGAAGCCTATCAAAAAAATCGGAATTGTAAAATAAAATAAAATCTAATAATGATTTTCCTAAAGTATGGCGCGCTAAAGAAACTATGTAAAAAAAAAGAAAAAAGTCTTAAATTTGTAGAAAGAAATATGAAATTTTATTATACATGTGAGCAATTTCTTTTTTATTGTATTTTGTTAATGAACAAATAAAAGAATTCTAAGCATCTTGAGCTCTTTTCGTAAAACAATTTTTTTTTTATGAAGATACGATTTAAAAAAATAAGATCTATAAAGAAAAAATGTCACACTAAACTTATTTACTAAGTTTTTACTTTTTATTTTAACCGATTTTAATTGCAGTTACACTTTAATAAGCAACAATAATTAAAAGAAAATTCACTTTGAAAAAAGATGCATCAAGAAATTAAGATCAATATTTCACTTGGCAATAGTTAAAAAAAAAAAAAAAAAAAACATTAATGCTTTTTAATTGTTTTTTTTTTAAACTAATAATTAAAAACATTGACGTTCAAAGATTAAGAAACATCAAAGCAATTTTACAAGTTTGTACTCGTACAATTTGAAATTTGATACATTGAAAAAAGTTTGATAAATTCGTAAAAACAAGATTTTTTTTCAGGTATATTTTTCTAAACAAAAAAAAGATTTAATTAATGAAGTTATTTTTTCAGTTAAAAATAAAATATCCGATACTAATGGTTAATTTTATTTTTGTTTGATGAAATGGGAGGGAAGAAAGTCAATATGGTGTGGATTGTAAACCCCACGTAAATTGAAGGATACAAAATTTTAATATTAATCAACATACAAAATGCTAAGTCTCGAAATTTGACAAGACTTTTTTTTTTGTACATTATTTCCATATATTTCTACTTTCTACGCACATTTGATGAAAATACATTTATGTTTTGAACTTTTTCTTCTGCCCGAAAATGATTTTATAGACACGATAAAAAAAAAAAAAAAATAAAATGTACGTATTGAAGTAATTTAATTAGATAGTAATGTTAGCTTTAATTTTTTGCATTTTAATTAAATAAATAGGTTTTGAATGATTGACTTTTTAAAACGATTCAGTAATCTTCGTATTCTTTCTTTACATTTCATAAATGAAAAAAGAAGACGTACCGAAAATATTGAAATCAGAATTCATTCTTTTTTTTCTTAATATTAAAAAAAAGTTTATTGCCTAGAAGTTTCCTTTTTAAAAAAAAGGTCACATTTTATAAAATGAAAAAGCAAACACTGAAAACAACTTCAAATTAAATATTTCAATTTCATTAAATGAAAATTTTTGTATCAGGTTTTTTTTTTTTTTTTTTTACAACCTTTTTTTTTTTAATAGCACAACACAAACATGACGACAAAATTAACTTTCATCAACAAAGTTAAAGAAGTTTTTTTTCGTAAACATAGAAATGAAACATTTATGTAACTGAATATTTCATTTCCATATCCTTCAATATGCGCCTTAGGTTTTATTAATTTTTAAAGCACGGAATGCTTTGCCAACATGATGGATTTTTTCGTAGTCGCCATCAACTGGTAACTATTTTGAGCGCCAGAAACATTTGTTGGTCAGACTAACAAGGGACAAAACTGCTAGAAAATAAATATAAAGTAGAGATTTACTTACGAAAAAGGTCGATTTTCTCACACATTATCAAATAAAATAAAAACATTTACGGAGGTCACCCAAAAAAACAATTTTTTAACAAAAAATGTCTTCCGTGAATAAAACAATTATTGATTGAACAGAAAAAAAAATCCTGGTTTTATAATTCTAAAAAGTACTGTTATTTTAGCTATTTATCTAACACGGGAAATGATAAACTTACCTCAATCGAAGAAATAAGAGCAAACCGAAAAATCGTTTTCTTTCTTCTCCAGATGGTATTCTACTAACTTCCTCAGATTGTAGTTGGCGCCAAATGAAAACTAAAGCTGAAAATAACAAAGTTCGTGACCTGTAAGTCAGCAATGACCTGGAAGTACTTTGTTGTCCAATCAATTCACACCATTTCCTCAAGAACGCGGGAGAATTACATACAACAGATTTGGCGCCAAATTATCAGCTGTCAGGGAAACATGCATTTTTCTTTCTTCTATTCTTAAAATATTGACGCAAGAATTTAAAACAAAGATCCCACAGATAAATTATTTTAAATCTATTTTCATATTTCTAATTGGTATATCTCAAGGTAAGTTTTGTACTTAAAAAAAGAAATGATAATTTTTTTTCTTTTAAATAAATAAAATTTTAATCAACAAAGAAAGTATGGTTTAAATGATTTTTTAGTTTTTTCAGGATGTTATTCAAAATGTAAAACTATCTTTGAATCATAATATATATATTTTTTCAATCTTATAAATTTTTCATAACCACATATTTTTTTTCAAATATGGTAACAGGCTTAAAAACGAAAAAAATGTCTCCTATCACCTACTATCTACTGCTTACTTAAATGTAGAGGGAGGAGATATTTTCAGGATTTTAATTAATTATCAGAAATAATTATTTTATTCATTTATATTCCAGTACCTCCAACTTTAGGTGATTTCATCAGTGGAAGAAATTTTTAAATATTATTTAAATCAAATGAATAATACATGAAATAAATATTTAGAAAACTCATTTTAAAGTAAATGTACTTTTTTTTTATACAATTATTTATCAATAATTTGGGCCAATGGGAAACATATATATATATATATATATATATATATATATATATATATATATATATATATTTTGATATGCCAACTTAGAGTTGGCATGCCAAGGTTATTGTATTTACTTATGCACAAATCCCTTGGGAAAGTTATGAATCTACCTCTTCTCTCAACTGTGGGTCTGTGATAAAATCATTTAGGCATGGTGGAGTAATGGACAGTGGCTTGGATTGAGGAATTGGAGAGCCGTGTTTGAATTCCAGTCAAATCCATTATATTCACTTTCGTGCTAATACCCTTGGAAAAGGTATGAATCCTATTCTTGTCCTCCCAGCTATGGGCAAATAGCAGGACAGACTAAGTTCTATAGCCTTGGATGGCAACTGGTCTATCACAGAAAGAAATGGCAACCTACTACAGGAAGAAATTTGCATTGTCAATCTTGTATCGAAAGATACATGATAGCCTAAGTGTGTATCACACATGGCACATAATTGAATAAGGGAGGGTGATATAGTAACACAACTGTGTTAAGAGACTGCTTCAATTGGGATTTTTACTACTAAAAACCTGCCTGCTTGGATTACAGGGTTATAGCAAGGTAGACTGGGCTCTCTAGCCTTCATTGGTAGACCACTATAGGAGAAGGACAATTATGAATTCAAAACCATTTCAGTGTAGGACCGGCAACTCCTGCCTGTAAAAATCTATTTTCTACAGAAATCACAGTAGTAAGAACTGTGTGGTAAGAGGCAGTATACTCTACATGGGAGAATCATGACATGAAGAGGGGAGTTTATTTTAGGATAAAATATTGAACCATGTTTAAGTCAAAATAACTTTCAATTTATGTTTTTCTAAATAATTTAATTACTCCTTTATCTGTTTCATAAAAATATTACAAGAGTAAATTTCCATTAGTTATTTTTTCTGCATGAATAATCTTGAATTTTTATTGATATGATTAACTCTGTTATCACATGGAAGAAATAATTTTGTTTTTTAAATTATTTAAAATAAAAACATATCAGAATTTATTAAGAAAAAAAAACTGTTTTTGAAGAATAAATAAAAAATTTGTGGAGCATGCAATCTCAAAACTAAGGTTGAATTTTTGAAAATTTAAGTGTGTGTTTTTAACTAATTAATTTTTTTACTGATTAGTGGGTTAATGCATCTTTAAAATTTAGTTAACGAAGGTATTTTGCCAGTTTAAATCATTAACTTTACTAATTTACTTTTTGTATGAATGATTCATTCTTATATTATATATATTTCAGCACTTTTCTTTCGCCGTTAAATTTGTAATTGTATACATAAAGATTTTTTCTAAGAGTTGTTTTTTTTTTTTTTTTAAGCATTTCACCTCAAGCAAGGCGAGAAGCCACTAGGACACAAGGGGTTACAGAAGATTTGGAGCAAGATCAGATAGTAGTGATAGAGGAAAGGATGAGGAGAAGGATAGTGGATAGATCAAGGCAACTGGAGATGTTGATTGACATTACATTTGAATAGTTGGAGATTATAGCTCTCAGGGAAACTGGAATAGGGAAGGGAGTTCCACAGGTGAGAGGTGTGAGACATGAAGCTATTGGAGTAGAAGAGACGGCTACATTTAGGAGTTTCCACAGTGAAAGGGTGAGAGCGGGATGCCAGCCTCGTAGGGCGCTTGAACTCATGAAGTCTGGGAACCAGCGAATACAGCTCCTCGGAGCAATTGCCATGGAAGTATTTGTAAAAAAGACAGAGAGAGGTGACGGTGTGTCTGTGAGAAAGTGACTGTAGACGATATGCCAGAACAGGGCCATTTATATTGCATATCCGCCTCTGGAACCTATCAAGAACCCCGAGGCAAACAAAAGGGGCTCCAGACCATATATGGCAGCAATACTCCATGCAAGGGCGAATTGTTGATTTGTAGATCTGGAGGATTGATTCCGGTTTGTATATGAATACGTCGTATTGAACTACAATTTTAACATATTATTCTTAATTTTAATTGCTAATAGACTATATTTCCTTTAAAACAAATTAATGTAGCCAACACAACAATTTGGAATGTCCTGAAAAAAAAAGAGACCACTGGTGTATTGAGCAACAGACATAAAACAGATTGGCCAAGGAAAACCACAACAATTGATGATAGAAACATTGTGAGAGCTGTGAGGAAAACCCACAAAACAACAGTCAGTGACATCACCAACAATATTCACAATGCAAAGGTTATGGTTTCACAATCCACCATTTGAAAAAGACTTTGAGAGCAGAAATATAAAGGCCATGTCACAAGATGCAAATCACACCAGCAGCAGTAAGAATCAGAAGGGCAGATTAAAATTTGCAAGGAAGTACGGAGATAGGAGACAAAAGTTTTGGAAGAAAGTTTTATGGCTTGATTGAGACCAAGATTAATCTCTACCAAAGAGATAGAAAGGCCAAAGTGTGGAGAAAGAAAGGATCTGTTTATGATCCAAAGCATAGAAGCTCATCTGTGAAACATGGTGGAGGCAGTGTCTTAGCTGGACTTGTATGGCTGCTTCTGGAACAGGCTCATTCATATTTATTGATGATGTAACTCATGATGGTAGCAGCAGAATGAATTCAGAAGTCTACAGAAACATTTTGTCTTCCGATTTACAAAGAAATGCATCCAAACTAATTAGGAGGAAGTTTAACATGCAGCAGGACAATGAGCCAAAACATACTGGCAACACAACAAAGGACTTCATCAGGGGAAAAAAGTGGACAGTTTAAGACTGGCCAAGTTAATCAACGAACCTTAACCCAATAAAGCACCGCCCGGTCAGTGGGGCATCAGAATACACTGACTGCCCCCCCTGCAGAGGGTAAAAGTCCCTCAATGGGGCCACCTGTTGGCCGTGGGTGGCAACCCGTAATGTCTGAGGACGGGATCCTGGTGGTTGAGCAGGTCGTGATCCAGGTGTAAAGTGGTCACAACCCTGCAACACACCACTTTGGCCTTTACCTGGGCTAGACAGGCGGTCGGAGGGGCCCAATCCGATCAATCGGCTGGTCATATCAAACCCCATCATATATAATCCACCCCAAACCTATAACTTATACTCCTCTTCCCAACCAAAACTAACACCTACCCCTAAATATCTGATGGAAGACAGTGGCTGAGGGTCAATCAATTTGGGAGAAAAAAGGATCTGACACACCTGCTAACCCTTCACAGCCGTAAAACATGGATAATGGAAACAAAGGAACACGCATGCTCAAAGACGCTTCCTAAAGAGAGTATACCTTTCACATAGCCCCGACATGGCAAGGTGAATGGGTTTCCCCCTTGTCATGTCCTAATCCTGGATTCCGTGGTGGGTAGAGAGCATGAATGATGGATCAAAATAAAAACAATCAATGGAAAAAAAGAAAACTTCCAAGAGACCACATGCGGATAATGATAATGAAAACTTTCCACGATTTATTGTTCTAGAAGCAATAAGCAACAAAGCACTAACTGAAATATTTCCATTTAAAATCCAAAGAGCTATATCAAATATAATCACACCAAAAAATGTAAAAAAAATTACAAAATGGAACATTACTAGTGGAAGTGGAAAAAAAGATATATGCAGATACACTAATAAGACAAAAAAAATTACAAGAAATAGAAATAAAATCCTACCCACACCAAACCCTAAATTTCTGAAAGGGTGTAGTAAAAAGCAAGGAGCTCTCTCTGTGCACTCTAGAGGAGATAAAAATAGAACTCCAAACTCAAGGTGTTACAAACATCAAAAGAATCACAATAAAGAAAGATGAAGCAGAGATACGAACTAATACCTATATTTTAACTTTCGACTCCTCCTTAATTCCGACCACAATTAAAATCGGATATGAAATTTTAAGAGTGGAACAATGCATACCAAACCCTCTTCAATGATATAGATGCCACAAATTTGGGCATCACAGAGATTCCTTTCTAAACAAACAAACATGTGGAAAATGTAGTGAAAAAGAACCAGAACATAAAGAAGAGAACTGTCCAAATGAGAGCCTATACTCAAACTATTTGGGAAACCATTCTGCCCTCTCAAAACAATGTAATATCTATAAACAGGAAAAAGAAATAATCATAATAAAATACAAAAAAAATATATCTTTCTCAGAAGCACAAAAAGAAGTTAAAAATAACATAAAAGAAAACAACTCCATGGTATAAAAAGCAAATAAAATAAACAATGAAGATAAAATAAAAGATTCAACTGAAATAACAAATTTATATAAGGAATTAAAAGCTTTCCTTGAAGAATTAAAAACCTTCTTAACCGAACTTAAATCAGATCAAAATAAAAATAAAACTCAACAACCTAAATCAAATGGAATTAACCCAGAAGAAGGCAAAAAACTCCGGAAAGAAAACATAGAACAAAACTCCAGCAAACCCTCTTCTTCCC